TTTTATTATTTCGTTTCATTTCTGAAATACCACGTAAATTACTATAAAAATTAAACTACAATATCCAAACATGTTTTTAACAAACAATTCTGCGGTTCGTTTTTTGAAATTGCTATTTACTTTTTATAAATCTAAATAATATATAATAATATAATAGAATGCAAGCTCTGCTCACGCTAGTCGCCCGCCGGGCCTTGCCGAAGTAGGTTCTGTGTCTAATTTTCGCGCGCACCGCCGTTCCGATCTCGAAAATATTGCTCGCGAGTAAACTTAAAATTGAAGTTTTATATTTCAGCATATAAGTGCAGTTCATAATTGCAGAAATAATATAAGAATTGCAGAAATATGGGAAATAAAACAGCATATAAAAAATTATCAAAATTAAAAATACGAAGATTGAAAAAAACATTAATGTGAGTATGAATGAATACTATAAAATATATTTATTTTCACTTTTTAATAAAAACAAATAAATTGATAAATGCAACTTCACGTAAAAACAATAAAAACAATTGTTTTATTTTTACTTTATATGTCACAGTATAAGTATACAACAGTAAGACCACTGAATGTAGCAATTGTGACCTTTTTTGTTTTCAGTGCAAAAGCACCACGGACCAAGGGCATGTTTAGATCACAAGAAAAACTCAATGAAAAGTAAGTATGTTAGCGACATATTATACATTAGGTATGTGAAATAATTGATCTTCGCCACATCCTTCACATGTATTTTATAAAAACGGGTAAAAAGTACCTAAGTTAATCCTGGTCATATACTATCTGTGAACTAAATTTCATCCAATTCGGTGCAGTGGTTTTGAAGGATATTAAGTAACAAACAAACATCCAAACTTTCCGATTTATAATATTGGCGTGATTAGTGACAGTGGCGCGGACAATGGAAATTCATTGTTCGCACCTCTGTCAGCCCGCTTTATAGTTTAATAGGCTTTATAGGCCTTATAGTTTCTGATATTACTTGCTGACACGTGCTGTTTTAATAATTGGACAATGTATTTTTCAGACAACAGAGTAATTTGCCCAGCAGTAGCACAACTACACTGAATTCTAATGTACAGAATATAACGAATTATGTGTAAGTAGCTATTTAAAAATAAAGCCCATATCGAATTAAAAAAAAAATCGTTCTGCCATACAAATTGTCCAGTCAAGTAAAATATTTTGTTTGGGAGATCGATTTTTTTTTTCAGATTTCGATATGGGTTTCTTTAGGAAAGTTGTTCAGTTTCACGGGTAGATGAACCCAAGGGGGTTCATCTACAATTTGAATTTATTTATTTTTCCCTGAATTTTTTTTTCAGACCAACTGAAGACAATGACGATTCATACGTAATTGAGCCTGAAAAAAGCAATGAAGAGTTTCAGCATGTTCTAGGACGGCGGATCATTGATATTAATTACCTCTTGGAAGAGTTACAAAAAAAAGCTTGTCATAATGAATTGTTCCACTGTAACATGAGTAATTTTCGTCTAATGGGTGAAAAAAGAGAAGAACTTATATCCTTTTTCAAATTTGAATGCAATATGTGCAAAATATCTGTACAATTAAATCTGAAAACACACATGATACTGAAAAAATTAATTTAAACATTGCCGCGACCACTGGCATCGTTGCTTCTGGTATTGGTTATTCACAATTTGAAGAGCTATGTTCAGCAATAGACGTTCCAGTATTTACTCCGAATACTTACACCAAATATCAAGATCAGGTTCTTAAAAAATGGGAACTATTTATCGATCAAACTCATCCATTTATCGGTGCAACTCCGGACGGACTGGTGGGAGATGATATGCTAGTCGAGATAAAGTGTCCCATTACAGCTTCTAAAAAAGGTCTTGAAAATTCAATTAAGGAAAACAAAATTCAAATTCTCAAATACGACAAAAAAACAGGCACGGTGACCGTAAACAAGAAAAGTAACAGGTACTACCAAATTCAGGGCCAGCTGCATGTTACGGGTAGGAAAGTTTGTTTATTAGGAATTTGGTCAGGTGACAGTGAAACAATTTTCACAAAATATATTGAAAGAGATGATGAATTTTGGAAAACTATGGAGCCAAAGTTAGTACTTTTTTATAAAAATTGCTTACTCACAGAAATTGTTGACAGCAGATATGCGCGTGGGATGGCGATCCGAGATCTAAAACTGGAATGTGACTCCATGTCTGTAATTGATGTAACAGACAAAGAAAATAACAGACCTGATTTATTCAGGACTGACCATCGAACGTCTAACGAACCTGACAAAAATTTTAAAAGAATTCACCAACTCAGTATGGAAGAGTTTTAGAAATTGTTTCATAGTTGATCGATTGGTTAAGATGTAGTTTTAGATCACTATTGTAATTATTTAACTTTGAATACTTACGCATTTGTAAAACTTAACATAAAATTATTAAAAAGAAATTTAATTTAATATTTTATACAAAGTTTTTTTTTAAATAATCGAAATCAGTAAAAAAAAACTAAATACGTATAAATTTAATACATCATACAAAACATTAACTAAAGACGTAATTTGTAACTACTCACTGCAAACTAAAAACAGTTCAAATCATAAGAAGTGGTCCTACTGCGAACTATTTTGTACTGTGGTCTGTAGCAGCGCGGTGCCGGGATCAAGTGAGTTCATTGTTTTGGGGTGTTTGCGTTGTTTATTACGCGCGCTGGAGATGCGCTAAATACCTAAAGTGTCAGTATAAGAGTGCCTTAAATTAGATCTAATATTATGGGACGGACGTAGGGGACGATATGTGGTAGTGTTTATTCATATACCGCCATTTCATAGTCAAGTTCTGGGTTTAGTTTGCTTTAATTATATATTTGATGATAAAATATGTTTAAGATACGTTTGCCAACTTCGAAATACGTCAGCAAAATTTGAGAGTTGAAATTTATCCATAAGCACAAAACGTGTAGGTACCTAAAATATATTATATAGATGTTACACTAGCGGATAGTTTTATGGTTAACCAACCATGGAATAAACAAGTGCGCCCGAGCAAAGAGCACTGACTGCCGGAACGAAACGCGACTAAAATTATCCTCGATGAGGTAGCGAGGCAAGGTCGAAGCGGCGTCAATGTCGAATGCGGCAAGTTAAAGTTTTCCTGCGTGTAAACCAATGTGGACTTTTGTACTCATTGCTGGTTATTTGAATAAAAGCCCGAAAATATTGACTAAAGATTAAATTCCATATAATTTGCTTGCTGAAATCCTCATCAAGCAAAGATTAACTAAGAACACATAATTTTAAACAGGATTTGGTTAAATTTGCGGATCTTAAGATAGTGTATTTTACATCTTCATCTGTCTACAAAGCCAATAGAAGTTATCATCCTAGCATTTTATGTATGTGTGTACATAATAGGTTCGTTTAGTCTTAGATATTGAACGATTTTGACATATTAGTTATAAACTAATAAACCCTCTACATTAAGAGAAACAGAAAGCAAAATTTAAAATTATTTTTGAGAAGTATCACGGTAACAGTTTGTTTTAACTTGTTTTGCTATTATTAGCATTTTATTGAGGTTATGTAGACACGTACAAGTAGCCTTAATTGAAGTATTTAACAAATTTGACTGTATTAGTACAAAATTTTATTATTATCTTTGAATACGTTTCGAGAAAAGTTTTATATAGTTGTATAACTTCCAAAATAGATTCTTGTTTTTATTGTGATGTTGTGGTATAAGGTAAATATTGCGGAGAAAGTTGCGGAAAACTTTTCCATCGCATTTATTATTACACTCCTATAGAAATAAATGTAGAAAGTTGTTGAACCTACGAAGGGAACGCCAGTTCCCCTCCCGTCTAGTTTCTCCAATATAATGTACTGTATGAATTATACCTTCAATGTGCAGTTTCGCCTCCAGTTTGTTCTTATCTCGTTTTTTCTTATCAGTCATCGCGCGTTTGATAGCATAGTAAACACTTAGTTGGAATGCATAGAGCTTGTTTATTGTATTCTTAGATTCATAGTCCAGAAGTTTTTTTTTTATTAATAATAAATTTATTGTATATATTTGTTATTTAATACAAATATTTTATCATCGAAACATTGTACTAATTAGAGATAATATCTCTTGTTACTTCTTAGAAACTTCTTACATTACAAGTATTATAGATACAAGTAGATGATTTTTTTAAATAACATAAATTACAATTTCAATGTGAATGTTTTTGAAACACGCGTACTGAAAGCCCTCCGGTTTGTAAGTCGCTACTGCCGCCAACTTTAAACTATGGATGCCTCGATACGCCATTTTGCCGATACGATACCGATACCGATGCTGTTATAAAAATATCGGCGATAACGATAACGATACCGATACGCTTATTGAATTCTAAACTCAAGGCAAAATAAATAAAATACAAGTCAGGTTAGTTTTTAATTAATACGAAACAACAAATAACAGGACACGCTAAATAAAACCAAAACAATAGACAATTTCGTTTGCAACGAAATAGACGAGACAACACACGCGTTTACCTTACATTTTTGAAGCGCGAAATTTGAAAAGTATCGTTGAATCGGCCATAAAAATATCGCCGTTGCCAATATATCGGCAAACTTCGAGTATCGCCGATATATCGACGTCGATATCGGTATCGGATGCATCCCTACTTTAAACAAAATGATTTTTCACCAATGAGATCTAAGAGAGATTGCCTCATAGCCTATATTGATACTGGCTCTGTATACTCTTCAAACTGGAACACACCAGAGTACACCCGCTGCCTGGTCGCAGAAAGAGATACTCGTAAGAGGGTTGTATCCACCCAGAAAATCGTTCTATGACGTTCCAAAGTATTCAGTACATTTTTTACAGAATGTCTTAGAGTGTAAAACTTCTCCGATTACAATTATAGCGTTAATTTAAAGCACGCCAGAAGTAAATGATTTTCCTAACATTTTTTTTTAAATCTTACTGACCAACATTAGCTAAATCCTTCTTGTATTTTCTTTCATTAGAATCAACAGCCGCTCCTAGACGTGGTCCGGGAGCGGGCTCGCGAGCTGTGCAGCGGCGCTGACGCTGCTAGCGGGGAGAGAGTTGAGCAGAAGACCAGGGAACTCGCTGATCGTTGGAACGTAGCGTGCGAAGGTTAACTTATCACTAATTACGTTCATCTTCTTTAATTTTTCTTGAAGTATTTCTTAATTTCTTGATGTCTTAATTAGTATTTTAATATTAAGTAAAACCATATATTTCTAATGCTTTATGATATTTTATCTCAAATACGGAATCTCTTTGAACAGGTTTAGCCAAACGCGCTACCACAGCGGACAGCCAACTCCAACGCTGGACCCAACTTCTAGACACGCAGAGGAGCTTAGCATCTGCAATAACAGCTGCATCAGACCGCCTGCGCCAGTTGGACGCAAATCCCAGCACCAGGCGTCGTGCGCTCGATACAAGACATGCGTTGCAGGTTATTTATAAATGCCGTTCAGATTTCATCAACTATGATTAATTCCTTTTTAAGATTTATAGATTCTAAGCAATAGCTATTCAACTGAGACTTCGGTTATCTTGTTGTGCAATCAGAACGTATTTTATTATGAAAATCGATGAATTCATACTTATCACACATATAAAATATACGGATTTGACTCAAACTAACCATTATTTCCAAATCACTCAACAATTACAAAGTCCCAGTTGGAACTCGAACTACTGTTAAAAGCCGATATCCGATCAATAAGTCGACTTCAGACACGCAATAAATAGCTGTCGAACGGAACCTTTAAAGGAAAGTGCACGCAACAGGTTATTTTGTGCTTAATTTACAAAGCATTACCTTATATAAAGTTAAGAACGAAAGGTGCCAAGAACTAAGCTTCCAATTGAATTAATATTTCTACCTCTAAGTAAATTTAAAGATTTCGCTTAGATTCTTATACTTTGTTAACCTAATAACTAATAAGTCCAAATTTCTAAACCGACAACGTTAGATACGATTTTTGGCTCTGTTTTTAAATTAATTCAATCAATCACATCGAAAGATAGTTGTATATTATGTGAGATACGTAATTTTTAGGTGAGGAAGCATCCCCAACAATTCGTGGATATGGATTATCCTTCGGTCTTTATTATCATATTCAAATGTGTTTTTAATACACGCTCATTCTGCATAATAATCGATAAATAAAAATAGAAACAATAGACAAGAATTGATTCTGTTTGTTCAGGAGCTGCAGACAGACGTATCAGGACTGGAAGAGAGCAGGGACGATCTGCTCGAGCACGCCGACTTCGTCGTGAACATCCTCAGACCACACTCCAAGGAGGCCGCAGCAGAGACCGAGAAATCTGTCAAAGAGACTGCGGAGGCTTATGAGAAGTAAGTCTGTGTGACCTAGAAAGAACTTCTTAATGGTTTCTTATATTTACGCGAACACTACACATTGAAATAATACTAATTTTTACGGAATTTATCGCGTATATTTAACTTTTTAAATACCCGACGTTTCGAGAGCTTTACAGCACCCATGGTCACGGGAAGGACTGAGATGTTCAACGTCCAGATGTCATAGTTAACCGCGGTTACCATAGATTAAAATTTAACTTTTGTTCTGATCTACACAGTATGAACTTATGGTATCTTGAAGTCTTGCAGTTGTATGCTTGGGTTGGGATTTAATTTTATTTATTATAGGATCCCACGCAGATGGTAGCATCCAGCCATCTTCTCTATTGAAATTAGGATGTTTTTTGATTTAGAAATGTAAAATACTGCTACTTATTTATGATGTAGTTACGTTCGCAAATTGATGCAAAGGCGAAAACGTTCGGGGTACCTGCGTTTCGCTTTTCCCATAACATAAATTCTTTTTTTTAGCCGTGTAGTGGTGGTGAAATAATACCCACTACCCCTTATCGTTCCGTGGGTGTCGTAAAAAGCGGCAGATGGAAATTGAATAGGAGATGAGCAGCAGCGTCCTCCAACTGCAACTCATAAGACTACAGTTGCTAATCCGCCTGCCAAGCGTGGCAAGTATGGCAAACTCCCCCCTATGAGGCAGTGAGGGAAGTTTATGTTCAGTTTATATTTAAGTATAGTTGTAGCACGAATGGTTTGGCTCGATCGAGGAAGGACCACGCTCTTACAGAATACCAGCGTAAAATAGTAGCCTAATGCTGCTGTGTTTCGTATGCTGAGTGTAGAGAAACGGAGATCCTTTTTATTGGAAACGAGGCATTCCATCTTAGTCCTCACGGGCGACAACGCATTTGCATTTTGGTTCGTAATCGAGGATAGATGTAGATGTCTATGGGCCACACTCAGATGAAGTAAATTTTTTACTTCATCTGAGGGGCTACAGCAACCGCTTACCGTCAGGTGGACTGTGTGCTCGTTTGTCACCCTATCCTATAAAAAAGCACTGGACTTTGGTAGGCTGTAATTGACGGATAGAACTAAATTATTTCTATTATATTATATTTAATGCACTTGTGCTTTTTTACAAGGTAAGTACATTAATAAAGTATTGGGGTTCAATTTTGGGAGCGCACACCTTCGAATTCTTCATCAGGACACGTAAGTAAACACTATTACAGCATAGACGTGACATTACCAACACATTGTTTTCAAATCAATAATCTTCGAAACGGTATTGCGTACTCAATGACCAACCGGCTATTGTCGGTAAATAGTAAATCGTCGAATGAAGGCCATGCTTAAACTTAATACACACGAATACTAAGTTATTTTTGCAGATAAACTCGAATCTGGTTAAGTGTTGTCTTTACGAACTCAAGAGCACTTTATGATGAAATACTGAAGTATTTAAAAAGGTCTCTACAATATTTTTGTTTATTTTGACGACATTAGTGCTTGTTAGCTCTGTGTATACATAGAAACAACAGTTTGGGACCCTAAAGAGTCCCCTGAGTAAGTCCATTACTGTTTATCTATTTGAATACGTATTTACAATTAAAGCTTTAAAATAATTCTGCATTGCCTTCTTAGTTTGTGATTGGCTTTGGCGTTTATTGTATGTTACAGTCTAAGATCGTTGGCCAAATAAATCCCATTACTCAATGTTTGGCTTACGTCTATACCTTGAACAATATTAATTGCATTAATGAAATCTACAAGACTTAATCCACTAGCTTGGACGAAGGTTAATCTTCTACAGATTGCGTTGACATTTTGAGAAATATGAACTGCCAACAAAAGTAATTATCTTGTATGGAGTTCAGCTTTGCTTGTATAGCAAATTATAACAAAATATAACGAACTTTCTGCTCTAGTTATAGACATCAAATAACGGGTCGAGATAACGAGACAAATTTTTGTTACGGATTTTACCGGGAAGCTAAAGACGATGACAATATTTTAAAAAGATGAGAAACAGTAAATTAGTTTTCATTGATCCATCTTAACAGATTTGTTTCGATAAGAAAAATGTTATTATTGTAGAGCAACAGAAAAAATATCATATAACTGTCCAACATCTTTCCCAGTTATATTTTAAGTTTTAAAATATTTTTCAACTCCGGAAGCGTGAAACTTAATTTTTTGGCAATTCATCAAATATGCAGGGTCAGTCTACCGCTATGCATTGTTACATAATGCGTTTTTTAACGAAGTTAACTGTGCGGCTTAACTGTCCCGAAGGAGTAAGGATAATTATCTTTGTTCTTTTCTTTCTGTTCTTACAAATTTGTATGTCTGACGTGTCAAACGTTCTGAGGGATCCTTCTTTTTTGTTCATGTTGGCACAAAAACTTGTTTTGGTATGTAGTGTTTGGAAATAAGATATTGTTGGTACAACTAGAGATTTTTTATAAATGATTTAGACGCGGCGGATACATATTGACAGGTTGAAAAGTTTTTGACGAAAAATGTCACAGAAGTATTTTGAATTTTAGCACAAATATAACGGATTTCGTTTGAAGCAATGGATTTTCAATACTCATTGTTATTGTTCATATAAATCTGTGTGAAAAGTGTGTTTATATTTAAAAGTTTATATTAAACTCCCGTGCCATGGTTCATGCGTGCTTCTGATTTCAATTCTGATTATTTTTCATCGATGAGGGCAAACATTTATAAGTTTGTATATACGTACTTTTGCATGCTTTTTTGCTTACTGATATTCGATTTTGACTATATAATTATCATAGGTACCTCAAATTCTAAATAACATTACCCTATGTATAGTAAGTGAAAAGAACGGGAAATCCTTTTCACTGGTACTAAGCACGACGCATTTTAAATCTTAAACACTCGTTTAAGAGTTAAAATGCGCCGTAGATGTAGTTATATATATTTTATATATTTTTTGGTTGAATAGTTAAAACAATAAACCGTATCTCTTTAGTTCGGCGTGTAAACCAACGGGACTTAAGTTCCACGCCACTGGACACTGCGATATTTACGCTAGCGAGAATCTGTATACTTTTTTAAAATAAATATAGTCACTGAATCATAGAATACAAAACAATTATAGTCGTCTACATAATAAGTATGACTGACCCATTTTGCTTGTTACGTAGGCGTCTAGGCGTACCTTTGCTCTCTTGAGAGCATAAAAAAACATTTTTAAATTTTGAATGCACAAACTGATTCTTAGAATTTGATGTTGGTATTGCTATTCAAACATTGCAAGATTGATGCGTTCACAAACAGTTGTGAATGTAAATCTTTTATCTATTTGCGTTCTTCGAATCGTTCGGTTTTAAAACGTTCTTTTGTTTAACACATGACTAGCACAAATCTCGATTTAAAGAAAAACCTTGTAGTGGCGGCGTAAGAGAATTCTATGTACCACATATTATCTTGTGGTCTCGTAAGAAGTGACAGAGGGAAACTAAAATAGGAGATGGGCGGAAACATCTTCCTGGTAACAACTCAATAAAAAAAAAGCTGCGGACGCTCGGTTATGGCAAATTTTCCCCTATAAGGCTATTTACTATCCCCAATTGATCTCCTCCCGGCCTACTTTCAGCACTGGTCTTTTGATAAGGAGTAATGTTAATAATAATAATGATTTGAAACTGTTACTATATGTATAGCAGTGATTATCCTTATATAATCAAATGATAAAAAATTAATTTTCATCGATGACATACGGTATTTTTATGAAAGTAAATGAATACTGTGGTCCTTAAACATCTATATCTATTCTCGATTAATAATCAAAATGCAGATGCCGAAAAATTACAGCATTGTATGGACATATAATGAAAGACATGTATGTGAAACAGCACCAGATGGCCACAACTTTCTAATCTCGAGTATAAAATCGACTTCTGAATCGGTCCAACTTTTCTACATTTGTGTTTACTCGGATTCCGAATGATAGCGTGCGTAAACTCTTAGTCTTCAGTCGCTTCTACATTACAAAAGGACAATCTAGAAAATATTTGGCTAGCCAAAGCAATTTATGTATCGTCGAAATTGCATGACGATGCCAAGTTTAAGTTGCAACGTACTGCGCCGTATACACTGCAGTTCATACTTGTACGTCTACGCCACACTGCAGTTTCCAGTCGTAAAGTCGACTCGTTTTCTCAGACATTAAAATTCTGCAGACACACAAAAAGATCATATATCCTTGTAATAAGGCACTATATCAACTCAGTGGAGTGAATATTACTCACCTCACAATCGAAGTATAAAATCTTGAGTCGCTTATTTAGTTGTAACTTGAACCCTCGGCGGACGCAATAAGCGTTAGTTTTGTTTGTTTAACTTGACGTCCAAATGGTAGCAGTTAAGTTTCCTGTTACATCAGTAGTCTGACACATATGGTGACGGTCAAGGGCGTGTGGTCATCATTGTTGAATTGGTAATTATCGTGCGGATGCGTGTTCTGACGACCATGTTACCAAAATTATTTTACTTCATATTTCTCTTTATTCACGCACTTAAAAACTACGAGTAACAAAGTATGTATATAATGTAGAAATAAAAATATATATGTATATGTATTAAATTTGTACACTATTATGGTTGACTAGCATATAATGTCGGTAGCACGGTAGGCATTAAGTCCGTCTTTTGTTATGCTATTTATAAAGGTGACAATAAAGTTTAAATAAACAACGATTAAGTATGCAATAATAATAAATCGATGCATTTTCGTAATCATACACAAGCTGGTGAGCCGCTACAACTCGGGGGCTTAGCTCGCCTTGAAAATGTTATCGTAAAATAAAATAAAAATTTGTTTCCAGACTAAACATCATGTTTAGTCTCGAAACACATTGAGGCAAGACAATAAAAAGCTTTACTGCCTCAACGGATATCAACGGATCAACGGATATCACTTCTGAGAAATCCTCTCAGAAGTGATATCCGTTGATTAAAATTAGCGAATGCAGAGATACCAGGTTCTAAAGTTCTAAAATATTTAGATACTTAAATAAATTTGTCCCTTCGTCATCGTCGTATGGCAATATTTAAGACATTATATCATCGCACCTCGGCCTCAATATTTTGTAAGATATGTCTGTCCTGTCGATGATGTCATGGCGCTCAAGTCTGTGTGCTTAGAATCTTATAAATTAAAACGATATTTTCGTATCCTCTTTGTAATATGATTAAAATAGACAACGGTCAATGTTATTTTAAGGAACCTAGGTACGCCAATTCTCAATATTTGAGAACGTCATACATAGCTTGTCCTTGTTTTGCGTGAAACACCACCTTAGTGCTGCTGTGCTTCCTATGGTGAGTATAGAGAACCGGATACCCTTTTTACTGGAAACCAGGCATTCCATCTAAGTCCTCAGGTGTGACTCCAAGGGGTGAATGCTCCTGCATCTTGATTCTTAATAGAGAATAAATGTAGATGTCTATGGGCCACAGCATCCACTTACTTTCAGGTGGACTGTGTACTCGTTTGTCAACTTATTTCTATTAAAAAAGGATTTCCAAGTAGCGCGTATAAAAAATAGGTTATGAAAACATTGTTTAATGGCGCCTTAGACTACTTTATAGCATGAGTAAGGCTGGGCTCACGTGGGCGGAATGTCTTAAAAATTCAGATTGATCAGTATTTTCGTGATTCCCGCTTCAGCGCGAACATCTTTGATTAGAAAATAAGAAAGAAGAGTTGAAATACATCGTACTACTTTTAGTTTTTTATATTAGAATATCGTAAACTAATACACGGGATTCATCCATTTGCATGAACAAAATAATGAATAGCCAATACCTCATTACGGCCAGAAAATTACGACAGTGTTCTGACAGATTGTTTGATGACTATAGAATGTCGGTAGCTTCATTTGATGAATTACGCTGCGGGTACTAGGTGATAAAATCCGAAACATTACGAGTACTTCCTGAAGTTGTTCATAATCTGATTCCAGAGTGTGTTCGCTTTTATTAATAGTATCGAAGATGCGCGTTGTGTGTTGAGAATTAAATCTTCCAGAATGCATAACACTCGTCAGTTTCGTTCTGATAGAATAATTTAAAAACTCACAAAGTAAGAAGAATATAGGTGTTGTAGCATGATTAAATTGTATGCAATTCCGGGTTTTCTAAAATAATAATATGGATTCTAATTATGAACTGAGAGAGGTATTCTAAGGTCAGTCTATTATTTAACATTTATATATAAAAAATAATTAAAACTCATCACTGACTTATCACACTATACTAAGTAGTAGGTACATAACTTTAAGTACTTTTTACTCTTCTTCTTTAATACCTACATATTAAACTTTTAACGTAGAAATAAGTCATAACTAAGCAATTAAAACACATCATATACTTACAGTTATATAATTTTTAACAACTTGTCTTTACATTCAGACACATTTTTTATATGAAGTCACAATTCTATATCCCGTGGTTACAGGTCATTGTTGTAAATAGAAGGGGACAGAATCAAAGGTTAATAAAAACTTGATCCATCAGGAGGTATAGCGAAGGGGGTGGCTTGTTATTGCGTGTTTGGTTTGCGATATTGAGCAGAGCTAAAGGGACTTGATTATAAACATCGTTTTTACTACATCCCTCAATATATTTTTTAAAGTGGATGCAATAATTTATGCATAGATACGTATATATTTATTGATTAATATAATCCCGCTAAAATCCGTAAAACGAGTTTTGTTCAATGTGTAGTATTTATGTAAGTAATGTGTAGTATTTATACCTACCTATATAAGTAATCGTTACGGTTAAATTTAATTAGAAGTTAGAACTACACTGAATTATTAGAATATTATAAAATTATTATTGCGAAAGTTTCGTTAGGATATTATATTTTATTAATCTCTGTCCGCTGTCCGTTAGACTCACTAAAACCCAAAGACGGCTTGACTGATTCTGATGAAATGTTTAGATTTACATTTGGACCCGGTAGATGGCGCTGTTGTCGAGATCCAGAAATCACCCGTGCGAAATGCGAATCCGGGACCGACCGCTAATACTTAATAAAAAAAAAACTTGGTTCTCATTAGGGGTGTTAGTCATACAAATATTTTTTTAGGATCATATATAAAGACAACTAAAATAAAATCTGTTACCAACAACACGAAGGCGCCCCAAGTCGCATAGCAACGTAATACGCAATAAAATATCTTTTCAAGACATCCATACGGCCCACTTTCGATCGATCCGAATTCCAGACAGTACGAGGGATGTCCGTGCAATCGTTACATATTCGAACCGTCGGAGGGAAGTACTCGAGCGCTCGGCGCATGCGCGCTACGCAGTTAATGGGTCACGGCCCCGCAAAGTGAACCGGAGCCCACAGACGTACTTAGAACTCCAGTGATATTAAGCAAACGAAGTTCCCACCGAGAAGATTCGAATCGCGAATGCAATGAGCATTAAAGTTGTGATCGTTTCGGCGACGACGCAAGCGAGTCAATATAAAACAAACCTAGTCGGACTAGTTCCGAGATAAGTGCACAGAAATAACTTTTCGCCTATTCAAAAAGTTTGCGACGTGCGTGTTGCGGAATCGCGTGAAATAAATGTGACTGTGCACGCATAATATTCGGTGAGTCATCAACTTTTTAGATTGGAATTCGGTCGGTTTTGTCGGAGATTGGCAGCGGCTATATTAATGTTTACCTCGCCCACACGGCGCGGCGCCGGCCGGCAGACCGCTGTTCGCTCGGCGCATGTCCTTCCGTTGCGCAATACGCCACATCTTATCTTCGGAGGCAGTGTTAGAAATGTCACGTCAGCGCCGTGCGCTCGAATTGTAAACACGAGCTGCACTAAAAAAGAATCGCTCTGATGTCATCGTGCAAACATTATAGTGTGGATCTTAAAATTAGACGCGTGGGGCCGATCGCGGCGGTCTGTTCATTGAGCGACGGACGAGCGACGCGAGCGGAGCGCCGCGGGCCTCCGGTGACCGACCACGAGGTGCGCTCGACCTTGCATCGTCACGCAGCTGCCGCGTCACGCGCCACGAATTATTTTCGTCGCGTTTTGGCAGCGTTACCCCTGGCGTGCGCTCCCAGAAGCCGCAACTCCGCAGCCCGAATTGAATGCGCGACTAACCAGTATTTTCCTTTTACAGATTGCGACAGACTCTAGCGGCGAGACTCGCGGAGATTGACGATATCGTGTCCGAATTCGACCGCGTTGCGGAGAATATTGAGAAACTTCGGCAACTAATCGAAGTTTTCATAGCGAAAGTCGGGACTTTCTACGTTTTCGGGGAAGACGACGCAGAAGGTGTGCGCCAACTCGCTGACGAAGTGTCCGAGTTAGTCGAACGCACGAAGACCTTCACGGAGGAGAGCAGGAAACGGTACGGCGGCTCCGCCCCGGCGGACGTGGCGCAGGAGCTGTCCGCTTTAGAATTATCGGCAGAAGCGTTAGCGGCGGCGATGGAGGAGAAAGGAGAGGGAGTGGAAGCGCGCTCGCACAGCTCGCAGCGAATACGCGACTGATGTCGAAAGTGTGCAGGCGTGGGTCCGCGCGGCCGAGCTCACCGCCCGAGACCGTGCCTTACCGCCCGAACTTTACAAAGAGCGCCTGGTCGCGACCAGGTCCGAAGTGCCGAGTGTCGCGGACCGGCTCGAGCGATTGACGCGCAACGCTCGCGCAATCGTCGAAGGCAGCCGCGACGCCGGGGAACGGCAGTTAGTTCAGTCCACGGTGACGGCGCTGTCGGATCAGTTCGCGGCCATCTGCAGCGAACTCGAAGCTCGCCAGGCGGCCGTGGAAGATGCCTGCGACGCCGTGGCACGGTTCCTCGCGTTGTTGGAGAAAGTTCTGCTTTGGGTTGAAACGCAACGTGCATTCCTTGCGCGGCCACTCCCATTGGCCGACTTGCAGGAGGCGCAACAAAAACAGACTGAATATGGGGTAAAGCTTTACGGATCCATATTTTGTTAAATCGTTAAATTTATTATTCAATAATTATCTTATATTTTCCAGAACGCGCTCAAGAGCTGTAAGCAGCAAGCGAAGAATCTCGCAGATATGGCTAAGGAAATAGAGGCTATTGAACGTGTTACTAGTCCAGGGGACTTGCCTTCGAGGCTCGAAGCGGCAGAAAATGCAACTGTTGATGTCGAAAAGAAATTGGCGAAGACAGTGCGTAGTTAATATAATATATTTATACTATTATATTGACGAAAGGTCGACTTATTAATATTTTTTATTTATTTTTCAGAATGGCTTATTACAAGAGTTAGCAGAAGAATGGGAAAGATGCGAAAAGAAATTGAAAGACGTCGGCCACTGGCTCGAAGCCACAACACGGACAATAGAGGCACCACAAAACGCAAAGAAACCACTCAGAGATAGGCTCGCTCTGAGGGAAAAATTGATTAATGATATATCAACACAGAAAACTAAGATCTCCTATGCGGTTGAAAAACTCGATGTGAGTGTGACACAAGGTCTTACGTCACATTACTTGTTTTATTGCATTTCTTGTTTGTCTTCTTGGGTGTTGGTATTTATTGCGTCTTCGTTTACATTTTTATTCTGAAGGGTATCGTAGACATTATTTCGTGGTCGTAAATTTGTGGTGGCGGTCTTGAAAATGTAAACGCTTTAAATGGATATGTTTGAACAGGTACACTTTGGTGTTTATACAGGTACACTTCGGTCCCGACGGCGTGGCGTCCCAATCCCGCTCGCCAGAAGGCGTACAGCGAGCGGCGCGCGAACTCTGTAGTTCGCTGGACTCGCTCGGCGGACAGACCGCCGCGCAAGCTCGCCAATTGACTGCCGCGCTGCAGCAGCTCGATGCTTATTGCGTCGAGCTTGCGCAACTTCGCTCGCAACTCCTCGACGCGGAGCAACAGTTGCGTCACGTCGCGCAACCGAACTACAGCCCCCGTGACCCAGAGCGGGCACAGAGGCAGCAACAGGTAAGCCACTATCAGCGGCCAGGACCTCACGTCCTTCACCGTATTTTCTCACTCGCACAGACACTTGTAGGTGGCTAGCGAACGTTCTAGTTTTGTTTATTTGAAACTCTGAGGCTTCGAGCCCCATCGGCTCGAACGGCGGCTAAACGCCGCCCCTGTACATTACCATAAGCATTCATCTGTTTTCTTTCTGTTACTCTCCCCTCACCCCTCTACTAACTCGTCGACCGATATCCTCTGTCAGGAATGTCGAGAGAGAATCAAATCGCTACAAAGCAAGATTCAGGCGCGGAACGAACGCATCAAATTGCTAATCCAGCGCGGCTGCCCGGACGCCGATCCGCTGAGGGACACGTAGGCGCGAATCTTCGAAATTAGCTTTAAGTCGATCCGTAGTAATCTATTCCTATTATAACTTTTTTTAATACGAAATATATTCGAAACATCGCAGCCACCGTCGTTTTCTTTCCCTCACACAACCCCTCATCGCTCGCACGCAAGCGAACCGTTTGTAAATCATGTATGTCCGTACTTGCGTATCAGGAGGCCGTGCGGCGTATCGAAGAGCTCACTCGGTGTATCTACGAGGTGGACCCGTACTTCGCGGGCAGCGAGGACGCGGCCGCTCTGAGCCTGCTGCTGCGCTCCGGCGGGCGTGCGCGCGAGCTGCGTCGCCCGCGCTCTCCGCGCCGCCACAGCCCGCCGCCTGGCCCGGCCCCCCTCCCCCACACCACCTACGCAGAGATCGTCAGAGGACTCAGCTCCCGCTCCAGCTCAGTGGGCTCGCGGCAACCCAGTGCGCACAGAGTGCCCGCGCTCGACCGCCCGGAACCGGCCCCCGCTGAAGAGGAACGCTTGAGCGAAACTTATGTGCACATGCCGAATCTTGATAGTGAAATGGTGAATCAGCCCAGTGATTTATATAGTGAACCGATTTACGAAAACGTTAGTGAGAGTGAAACGTGCAAGCCTGACGTAGACATTCACCTTGAATCAAACTTCGAATTAATAGAATATTGTGATACGGAACAACCTGTCGATGATCAGCAAAAACTAAAATTACAGTCTTTGGAATGCCGGACTTCAGCACAGAGCGATCCCATTCATGACGTCTTACGTCCGCCTGAATACCATGACAGATCTCTGAGTCCCGCAACGAGATTGCGGTCTCAAGATTTATCATATGCAGAAATTCTAGCATTAGGTCTGGGAAAACAGGCGAAAGCTCAAAACATCATCACGTTGCCGAAACCACAGGTAGCAGAAGTCGAAATGGTGAAAGAAATAATAGTAGAAGTCGAGAAGGCTCCGCCTATTATTCATTGTGAACCACGAGTTCAACCTACGGACTCTTCGCGAATCAAGCTGGAAAGGCCCGAAAGACCTTTCCAACGCAGTCGGTCGAGAGACATGCCACGGCAAAGGCGTGCTCCTGAAAAGCGTTCCACTAAATCACATGATATGCAAACCATTAAAAAGAAGAAAACTTCAAAAAGGGTTATTGAAGTGGAGAACTTTGATGACTCTCCGGATACAACAGAGCCGACAACTAAATCAAGTGATACTTGCATATACAGAGCTATCGAAAAGTTTGAAGAACCTAAACCAGAAAAAAGTTGTAAAGAGATAACTAAAAAGGTTCATCATAGCGCTACAGTTGTCGAGACTGTTGTTGAAACTGTTTCTGAAGAAGTACCGCAGGAGTCATTAAAAACAGAATTAGAACAAAAGAAACCAAAAAAGAAAAATAAACATAAAAAGGTAAAAGGAATGGATGACGAAATCGAGAAGGCGTTAAAAGAGATTGAAGAATCGGACAGACATAAAAAAAGAAAAACGAAAGATTCCCGTGATAAAAGTAAAGAAATAATTACAGGCGCGGAATCTGACGAAACTGAACAACGCGCAGAAGTTACGAAAAAAAGCTTAGAAGCAATGGCAGATAATAATGAAGTTACTAACAAACAGAAGAAAAAGAAAATTCATAAAGACTCAAAAACTTCTAAACTTAAAGAAGAAAAGTCTGAGACTAATATCCATCTTATACAATCAACTGACGAAAAGGCTACTGGTGAAAGCTCAAACTTAGGAGAGGAAACTGGGCCGATTGTTAAATCTGATGATTCTGACAATTATAATTTGGTGGAACCGGGTGGCAAATACTCCTCGGTAATCAAAAATAAAAAAGGGAACTTTAATGAAAATGTAAGTGATATTAAGAGCGCAAACGAAGCGACCGGAAATGTAGGTAAAGAAGCAAATAAGGTTAATCAAAACGAAATGAATACTCAAAGTGTCACTACGTCATTTACTAAAACAAAGGAAGAACATGACGATTTGAAGAATGAAGAATCGGATGCGGAAAAGGCGTCTAAACATAAGAAGAAGAAAAAAGGCAAAAAACAGGGACAGTCACCAGAACATAATGAACAAAAGTTAATGACAACTGAAGTCGCAAAAACAACTTTTGAAGAAAGCATGAAAATAATTGAACCAATAAATGAAAAAATTTCGAACGTAGTAAAGAAAACTGAAGAAATTAAACTGAATAAACAGGTAGCGTTGGAATCTTCTGATTCTATTAAAGAGAAAGTACAATTAGGTAATACTCCTGATAGAAGTAAACCAAATGACGATGTGGAGTCTATCCATCCTAAAAAGAAATTAAAGTCAAAAAAACAAAAATTTACTGAAAGCAAAAATCCATCACAAGAACAGTCTTTCTCTGAAGCTTTAGGAACAACTCATATAATTTTGGAAGACAAAAGTGTAGAAAATATTGAAGAAGAGGAATTTATGGAAGTAAAAGCAAACAGAAAAAAATTAAAGAGTAAGAAATTGAAAGAATTGGAAAAAGTTGCAAGTTCTGAGAAATTAAAAGAAAAATGTGTGGAACTTATTGATAAACAAAGACAAGTCTCTGAAGATACAACTACTATTGAACAATCCAAGAAACCTATCACAGAAGAAGATACTAATTTAATTCACAGGGAAATTTCACAAGAAGATCAAGAAGTACAAAGTGACCTTGTCAACATGGATTGGAATACCTTAATGGCTGAAGAGGAAAATGTACTTGAATCCGAAGTCGCACAAATAAAAAAAACAACTGATGAAACTGACGCCTCCCAAACAACCACACAAGTAGCCACAGAAGTTACCATACTTCCAGAAATATCTAATATAATGAACATGAAACCAAAAAGTGAGCAGCTATTGGAAAATGTACAAATGAAGGAAATGGTTGAAAATGAAATGAGCTCCACCAGTTCCCCCAACGAACAAAATAATAACGATAAAATATTTTCATCTGATTTATTGAAAAATAGCCCATTAAATATTGTAGAGGAAATAACGCGGTATGAACCAATTGTACAGGATATAAAAACACGTACTATATATTTAATAACGCACGAAGAAAAGAAATTACCACCTATTAGAACAGTTAAGGTTTTCAGTACAAAAAGCAATTTAGAAACTGAAACGCAAGGAGAAAGTACTTCTGATACTATTGATACTTTTGTACATAAAGATAATAAAATAGTTGATAAACATATTTCTCGTAGTACATCAGAAAATGTTGAAGACGTCGTAGAAGGACAAATTTCAACTGATTGCATTGAAGAATTTCCACAGTATGCACAGGATCCAAATTTAAACACAGAAGCAGAAAAATATTGCTTAGAACAATTTAATAAAGTCAATCCTCCCCACGGGTTTATTGAAAACCCTAAAAGCATAGATGATGATATGATAATTGGACAAGAAAAGTTAGAAAACGTTAAAAACCTTTCCAATAGTCATCGTTCAACTCTTACAACAAATGAAGAAGGTGATAACTTTTTGCATTTAGATGCAAAACACGATTACAGTGTAGTTCCGGTTTCTAATCAAATGGAAGAATTTTCAGAGAACCTTCTTGAACATGCTATATTTGGATCAGTGCAAGACCGCAAAAAACCAACATTTATTAAGACGAGTTCTATACCATATCAAGAACTAGTTGAAGAAATAAAAACGTATTCGTTGAATCTTGACATTGATCAACTAGATTTTGATTATCACAGATTGATGATCGATGAGGAAGGTGAAGTCCCCCTTAATGTAGATATTAGAAACGATGTAGTAAAGCAACGTTTAGATGACGAAATTACGAAAAATGATATAGTTGAGAAAGATTCGACGGAAAGTCATTATGAAAAATCTGCTAAAGAAACAGCCGCAATGTCTCTGAATATGTCGAATGCACCTCATTTTAACTATCACGAAATGAAAGATGCTGAAAAATCTTTTGCTTCCCTCATGACAACAGTGACTGACCTTAAATGTCAAGAAGAAGAAAATAAAAATATTGACCAAAATTCAAGCAACTTGTTGAAAACTTTTGCCGCAGATGCCGTTGCCTGCAAAAATGATAGTCAGGATAACGCAGATTCTATAATTAAAGAAAATAAACCGTCGGACATCACACCTATTCCTTTATCAGAAATTAACATCGATGCGAGCCATGCACTCACTATCATGCAAACGACAGATAACAGTTTAATTAAGAAAACACAAGCGGAAGATAACAAGGCAGTAAATTTAATTGAATCTACTAAAAGTAAAGAAATTGGAGTGGTATTGAATAATTCTAAATTCGAAGAAAGAAAAATGGCTGATAATATTATTCTTAACATACTTCATGATGATATTACATACTTTAATTATTCTGCGATAGCCGATTCGGAGAAATTATTGGCATCTTATATTGATTGCCACGTGAAAACAGTTTCTGAGGATGAAAAATACAAAACCGTGTTTCCAATACCAAGTGTTAACCAAAATGACCGCAATCTAGTATCTATTCCAAATGAATTTGATATACAAGAAGAAAAGCTTAAATTGTCTGGAAATGCAAATTGCGATAATGAAGTAGTAACTACATCGCCAAATATTCAAAACGAGTCAGAATTAAAAGCTGTTGTGTTATCTAAACAAAATGATATTTATAAACCCAAACAAACGATTACATTACTTTTAGAAAACTTGCGTCAAGAACTGCCCCGTTTCAGTCATTATGACATTTTAGATGCAGAAAAGATCTATCCTTCTCTTATAAATGTGTGTGATTTAAATCGAAATGTCACAGCACCTGGTAATATCAACGCCGCTGTAGATACTGATACACTGATCAAAAACAACAACATAGTTTTGCATCAACAAAGTGTAGATCTCAGCAAAGAAAATATAGAAAATGTTAATTATATCAATGTGCTACATTATGAAATTCCTAAATATGATTATTATGAAAGAAATAAATCTGAAGCACTTCTGGCCTCTGTTGAACAATACGCGAAGGAGTTAAATAAAGTACTGTTGGAAGAGCCGAAAACAATAACAGATTCAGATAGTCATACAAAAGTTAAAGAAATGGCATCTAAAGATGATAGCATCCAACAAAGTGGCGAAAATACCGCATTCAACAATGTACCAGTCCAAAATTACCATGAAATTTGTGATGCAGAAAATTTATATGCTTCTACTTTAATCATGTCTGAGAATCAATATCTGACATCTCGTATTGATGAAAATATTCCTTCAAGTGGTAAAGATGAAATAAGTTTAACTACCGGAGACAATGACAAAAAATTACTTGATATTACTGTTAAAACAAATACGTCTGATATAAAGTCTAATCCTGATTTAGAAATAAATGCCGAAAATTTTGTGCCAGAGAATACAGATGAAATCGAAAACGAGTGCAAAGAGATTTCGCAAACCGATAAGGAGTTTTCAAAAGAGTCGATACATGAAATAACTTTGGTTCGACCACTTAAAACATATATTGACTTTTACGAAACACCTAATTTTAATTATATGCAGATACGAGAAGCTGAAGGCATTCTTGCTCGAATGGCTACTGTTTTATTTATTACATCTTTGGAAGATAATAAGCAACATATAAATTTTACAGAAAATAAATCCGTCGTAAACGTAGACGAAATAAAACGAAATCCAGAAGAAAGTATTGAATTTGATGTCATTAATAAAATAATGAATAAACCTGAAGCTCCGGTAATGCAAGAATTTAGTGATTCACTTGTGCCTGTGGTATTCGGTAATGTGTCAGAAATATCTAAATTGATATTGGATAAAGAAACAAATTTAACAAAGTCGCAAAAGAAAGATCTCGACGATACCAATAAAGATTCTACAACTATGACATTAATAAAAGATACTGTAGAAGATTTCGTCATTGTAGAAAACTTGCAAAATATTAGTACGATTGCCTATGAAACTGATAGTACTCAGAAATTTGATGTAGATCAAAACACTTCGGAAGAACTTGATTTCGAGCAGTCATTTGAAGTCATTGACATTATGAAAGATATTTCTTGTGAAATGAAATGTCTGGATAGGCAATCCATATTACCTGAAAAAAGTGAAATTTTGTCTATAACAGAAGTAAATGACGCTTCCTCTTTAAATAAAACTGTACAAGAAGATTCAAGCAAAGAGAATGTGCAAGAAAGGGCTGAATCACCAAAACCTGAAAACAAATCGCAAACTATCGCCTCTAAAATGAGCGAAACCGACATTACTTCTTCCGTCTGTATGACTCAGGATAGCACCGATTTGAAAGATACGCATGAACAGTCTAGTAACGTTACAAGTACGGACCCATACGTAGATATTTCAACAGATATATCGAGTGATGTAGTATCTGATCAATCTGTTCTGACCGAAACTGCTACCAATAATAATACCCGACCCGAGAAATCTCCAATTCATAGCTTACACGATCTCCTTCCGGAAATTGATTCTATACCTGAATTTAAACCATCCTTTTCAAATACAATTCTTTTTTCAAAATTATCAGCCGATGCACCTGAATTTACACCTTCATATATGTATCAAACTGGTGACAATCAGCTCACATCAATACCAATACCATCGCTAAGCAACACACAACAACTTTTACAAACAGATGAGCGCCAAGCAGGTTTTACTACAGTACCTGTTACTTACTCTTCAGTACTTTTATCCCAAAAAGACAAAGTGGAATCAGCTGACAATTAGTAAAGAACACCATAGTGAAATATCTGAAAGCGTAAAAACTGATCCTTCTAATATTGGAGAAAATGTCGATAATAAATTGAAACGCAACAAAAAGAAAAAGAAAAAAGAAGAAACTGTTGTTAAATCAATTGATGATGTTGACAATGTTCCTGCGCCTGATGACCGCTCACATTTATCTGATAAAATAAACATTTGGACTAAAGCGAAAGACGATGGTAAATCGTACGCCGAAGTCTTAGCTGAAGGTCTAGATGAGCGAAGAGAAAGTTTGCAAAACGAACAATATATAGACCGATTAGATACAAAAGACCTAAGTGACATAGTTATAGATAAACCTGAGAGTTTTGAAAAAGATATTGAATTTATTACTATTGCATCTCCATCTGAAATCGAAAATGATGAAGTTTGTGGTTCTTGGGCAAAAGTCGTTGCATCAAATCGGCCCTCACCTGAAAGAACACAGAAAGATATCATACATTCTCATGAAAACAAGGTAATGACAAAAGCACCTGTAATTCTGGTAGACGAGTCTGATTCTGAGCACCACAAGCCTGAGGTGGAAATTGATGCTGAAGGATTTATAACAGTTGACCGAAGTAGACGATCACGTTCTAGATCCAGAGATGACCGTTTAACTAATGTTTCTAAAACTTATAAGAAAAATGATGCACGTGAAAAATCTGAAAATAGATTTAATGCTCTTACATGCACTTTGAAGCCGGATGATAGTGAGCCTGTGCAATGCAGTCATACCGAAGATGAAAAAGAACTAATAAAGAAGGGAAGAAAGAGTCGATCATCAAAATCTAGGGAAAAAGATGTTAAAGTAAAATTAGTTCAAACAGCCACTAGTACAACCGATGATGATAAACAACCAGTAAAAAAAGATAAAAGGAAACGATCTTCGAAGTCTAAAGAAAAAATAAATAAGGAAGTAGAAACATTTGAATCGGCTGAGACATTAAAACAAATAGTCGAAACGGAACCAATTGATATCAAAAAAGAAGTTCAACAAAATATCCAACCGCTCCAAGAAGAAGCAGTAGAAAGTAAAAAGAAAGCGAAAAAGAAGAAGAAAGAAAAAAAATTAATAAACGAAATCAATGACGCTCCATCTCTTATAGAAATTACTTCTTCTGAACAGGAATCTACGGAACAAAAACATTATACTGTAAAATCAAAATGCATTGAAACTCCTATATCAACTCCAGAATCTTTGCAAACTCCTATAAAAGACAGATTTTACTCTGAAGTCCAGTATTGGAAAGTTGACCCCAATACATTAGATGACTCCTCAACCTTATCCGAGATTCTTACCATTGAAATGGAGCATGATACTAAAACGGAACATGAACATTTAGTAGCTGAAGAGCAATTACTGGGAAACAATGAAGTTTACAAAATTAATCCATCCGATACAGAAATATTGGACAAAGGTCTTACTGGTCTGCAAACTGAAGTTAGTTCTTTAACAGCAGACATTTTGAAACAGAATATTACCGAGGAACTATCGTTGGAAAATAAGATGGCTGACTTACAAAGAGAAATAGAAGAATTGTTGCTTCCTGAAAATGATGCATCTGTAACAAGTGAAGAAACACCAAAAGAACTAGCTGATACGCAAATATCATTAGACGAACAACATGATGAAATATTTGAAAATATTACTCCGTCTTTTGCCTCTCCAGAACCAGAAGAAATTTATCCTAAAACTCAAGTTATAGAATTTGACTCGACTCTAGCCGACCACGAAATATCAACAAAAATTATGCCTGTTTCAGATCATACTATCTTAAGCGATATAAGAGTCACGGTTGCAGCGGACAAAGAGAAACCCGCTGACAAACATGTAGAAGGTGTAAATTCCTTAACTACTAACATTTCACCGACAACTACTACTAACAATATAATAGATCTGAAGTTAGATGATTTCTGGGTATGTAAGTCTATTGCTGACGACGCGGAAAAAACGTTGGTTAGACAAACCGTTCTTAGTTTAAATTCTTATGTACCTTCTGAGGAAATGGTTCAATTAGAATCTGATACAAATTCGGAACAACTTTTCTCGGATGACTATAAAATTTTGAATAACCTTATAACAGACACGTTTTGGCCTGAGAAACATTTGTATCACGACGCAGAATGTGAATATTTTTCACAAATTGCTCAAAAAACTAAATTTAAATTTATTTCCAACGCTGATATTGAAGTCACGGACAAAAGAGACAAGGATAAAGATCCTGGTGGGGGATCCGGTCACTCTTCCGACGTTGATGAACCTCGAGAATCTAGTGGTTCACCGTTCGACTCTAATTATATATCTATGGACTTACCAGGTGGCATTTGTAGCTGGAAAGATCATAGTTCTTATTTGAGCTTAGAAACACCAACTGATTCCTTGACTGGTATCGTAAGCGAGGGTATGCCTATATTAGGTACCGACATCCCAGAGGATAAACTAACAAACCTATCCCTAGAACCAGATGCTTCCTTCCCACCCGTACAGGAGCTGGCACCGGGGGAGGATGAAAACCGGACGTCAGCCAAGGTGAACGAGCTACAGTTGTATTGTACTTTTTTTAGATATTTATTATATGTTTGGCATGATTTTATAACAAAATTTTTTATCACTATCATTACGAATTTTTTTGTCGTATATCGTCGTCTGCAGAACTCGCCGCTCGTCTTGTAGTGCCATCCTATGTGGCATACATCGTTTTCGCATATCATTTTACACGGTATTCATTTAAATTAGTTGGTTTAGTTTATAAAAAAAATCTGTGCAATTCTTTACGGTCTAGTCATGTCTAGTCATTCAATACAATACTACTCATACTTCAATACTTACATAAAATAAAATTATTTTGCGACACAAGTTGATTATTGTAATAAAGTAAATATACGTTGAACACGTGTTTTATTTTAATTTTTCAAACTTAAATGAATAACGCCTTCCCCTTTTTCTTTAAAATAAAATGTACTTAAAAGTTTTGGCCACTACGAGACGATCGACGGGAAAGTTGCTTTAAATGGATTTGTTTATAGATCTTAAATATCGGCTTTTAAGCAAAACATGGAAGGATTGTGATACTTTTAAACCAAGTAGCGAAAATTTTTCTACCAGGTTAGTCAGCCGATACAGTATAGCTTGAAACCCTGATTTGAAAATGTTTAGATTTTTATATATTAGAATTATGTTGAATGGACGTAGCTTTAGCTGTTGTTTTTATTTTTTATGTACCACTTAATAATAAATATACCCTTACTCTACTAAGAACTTAAATTTTCATTAAATTATCGCTTGACAAAGTATACTACACTTCCACAAGCTTTTGAGCACGCCCAACTAACGCCAGAAATAGCAATAGATTTATTTAAAACAGTATTTTTTAATTTGTGAATTTTAGACACTTCTGAGTATGTCTTGTAAAAATATGGCTATGGTGAAAATAGGTATATTATTCTTAATTAACTAAAATCCTTTTAGCCACATATAAGTAAATATTAATATATAGTAAACTTACGTCGTCAATATATCATGTTTGACCCTGGAAATAAAACACTGAACATCATTCTCATATGATCGGCTTTAAATGTTGTGAAAGCCTTTAGTGTGAATTAACTACACAGATATTTTAATAAGCATGTCAGCAGACATTGAAAGTTGGTAACTGTTTAATAAGTTTGCGTTGTTGTTTATTGTTCTGCTAACATATTCCGGAATGGCATACAGCTCAAAGTTAGAACACGTTTATACTTTCATTCATCCGTACAAGCCTGCAACTCCTTACTACATAGAGAACAAACTAACCCAACTTTGAGCTGAATCTATTGCGGTCTTTAGTCCCCTGCATCCGGAATGTTCTTATGGTCTTTATTCCCTTGCTAGACCATTATATGGCGTGGAATTTGAAGCGATTACTGAGAAGTGATCATAAACTTTAAGCAAACGTCATCCTTAAATCTATATCATAATATTTTTTTATGTCTTCAAATTTCACGTCAGCAGAAAAAGGCGCATAGTTTCACTAATAAATCTGCGGTGTTTCTAGGATGACTTATCTAATAGTCTTGAAATACTCCTGGAGGAAGTCAAAATTGTACAAGCTCAGTTGTCTGATCTACCCAACGAAACACTGGACGCTATGGAAGCGGGACTTAAGGTACGTTCTCGTCATTATATACATTTTACATTTATATGTATGTTATTTATGTGTGAATGTTTTATATAACTTTTAATAGTTGTAAATAACTTGTGCTCGAAAAGATATTAAAAACCCCAACTGACAGTTGAAGATTTCAATTTATTTGTACTATAATATTTGCATTCAACTCATTAAAAAAAACCATTTGTTTCTTAATACGAAATAATTTCAAGCATTTCGGAAATCATTATTCGACCCAGATTCCCTAGTATTAGCCTCAGCGTAAACAAAACTAGAATATTTCACTAATACCTCTTCATATAACGTCGGCAAACTTCATTCGCTGCAGCGCCAATAGGTCCTCGTCGTTTATTAGTCGCGCTTACTTTTCTAAATGTAAGTGTGCAAGGTACAGTTCCTGAAAACTAGTAGTTTCTAATCCCCATCCAATCATCTAAACAGATGTGTAATTGTAGGAAGCTCTGATTTATTTTTGTGCACTAATGTTGGCTCTGGCCGCAATTCCATCTCAGGATTCAAGTATTCTGACCACTTATTCAACCAGCTGATGGCATAAATCACTTTCGATCTTGCAATACAATTATTTTAGTGAATGTTCTCATACAAATATATGTATCGCGTGTGTCTTATACTATAGGTAAGTGTAATAAATTAATAGATATTTCTATGTATTGCCATAGAAATGTATTAGTAATTATAATTACTTTTCTTCTGTAACAAACACTTCAGTACTTATTGTGCGGTGCAAAATTGCTGCAAAATTTACGCAATTTATTCTATAATTAATTCTAAAAAATCTTATTGTTTGGCCAGTATCACAGTTGTCTCTATCTCAGTGGCCATATATAATTTGCATGTTGCAATCATGGATCCTATTTCGATTCTCAGAACAGCAAAGCTTAATCGTTTCCACTCTGTTTTTTTTTTCAATTCTAAATATTTTCTGTGACCAACAGTATGTCACATAAGTGCACCAATGCTTGTGTTCACGAATAAGTTCTCAAGCATGCTAAGTAACTCCATTTAAGAATTATTTTACCAGGTGACATTATTTCAGGTGACCTTGTGTTCACTCTCGCAATAGTTAAGCGATGGAAAGCATCCTGACTCATGCATCACTATCTGTTTACGTTGGCTGCTAGTACAGTCCGTGATGAATTTTACTAGCTCATGATGTCACCATGCACTCAGATATTACATCATGTGTTAATAATAAAACACATTTGTTGTTTGGCATCAACTAGACGTTAGTAGTAGTATACACTATCACTTTGCGAAACCGACTACTCGTTGGCGGTCTTACAATCGAACGAAACCGAAGCACAGAACGAACTGTTCGATAGTTTTAGTGCTCCATGCGAATTCTGAAAGAAATTGTAAACAAGTGTAGTGACTTTTTCAATTATTTCATAATATTTAATTATTGGAAAAAAAGTAACTGGTAGGTAGTGGTTTTAAAAAAATTGGTAAGTCGTGTATATTGAATTCTAAAATGAGCGTTATTTTCAAATTCGTGCCTTCTGTTTGATAAGTTTATCTATTGCATTGTATTGTATAGGAAAGTTTATTTAAAATCGCAATTTAGGATTAAAACTTGTTTTTGTCTTTATTTGAATTGAAGTGATAAATTTAGGAGTATTTTAATTCAAATCTGTTTACTATTAAGTACAAATTCCGATATTCTGTGCGTAAAGTTTTACAGTTATTGGATTACATGCAACGTGAAAGGATTTATTTAATCCATATGGTTTTCTATTATATAAAGTGGAATTAAAAGTAACATGTGTAGATATCATTTCAATATCCTATTTAATATTTGAAATTAAACGGACTATATAATTAAATTATCATTCATTATCATTCTCATTCTTAACCGCCATTACACGGCACTTAATATTATTATTAAGTGCCGTGTAGTGGCGGTGGCGGTGGAGTCTGTCGACGAGGGTCGCGTACCTGATACTCAGAATCACCAAACGGTATTCGCTGAAGGTCATACAGGTTTACGCACCGACCGCGGCATATCCCGATGAGGAGGTGGAGGAAATGTATGAGGATATTTCCAAAGCCATGCATTCCTCCAAAACCCACTACACGGTGTTGATGGGAGACTTCAACGCAAAGCTAGGCACAAGAGAAAACGATGAGCTGAAGTTAGGAAAATTTGGAGTAGGGCAACGGAACCGAAGGGGCCAGCAGCTGGCCGACTTTATGGAGAAAGAGGGACTCTTTATGATGAACTCTTTCTTCCAGAAGCGGCCCCACAGGAAGTGGACCTGGTCGAGCCCCGACGGTTCGACAAAAAATGAGATTGACTTCATTATGACGACCAGACGCCAACTGTTCAGTGATGTCTCAGTGATCGCAAGGGTGAAAACTGGCAGCGATCACCGAATGGTTAGAGGCACACTGAACCTAAACGTTAAGTTGGAGAGGTCTCGTCTAATGAAGTCAACGCTCCGTCCCCCTCGTGCTCTAATCCAGAATCCCGAAAACTTTCAGCTCGAGTTACGTAACCGCTTTCAGTGCCTACAAGATTGCAATGCAATGGATGATATGAATGACAAGCTCGTGGAAACTGTCCATGCGGTTGGAGCTAAGTTCTGCAAGACCCGCCGCAGAAGAACACAAAAACTCTCCGATCACACTCTTAATCTCATGGCTGTTAGACGGAAGATGAGGCTGCAATCGTCAACAGATTTGACAGCATACAGGCAATTGAACAGACAGATCTCCAAATGCATGCGGCGAGACTTACGCAACTTTAATACTGCTCGTATTAAAGAAGCGATCGAGCGGAACCAGGGCTCCAAAATCTTTGCCAGAGATCTGTCTGCCAGTAAGAGCCAACTGTCAAAGCTGAAGACTGAGTGTGGCAGCATCGTTTCCGGGACACCTGAGATTTTGAGTGAGATTGTGAGGTTCTATGGGCAGCTGTACACATCATCGTTGGAGCCACACGCAAGTGTGAGTAACGATCCAAGAGCAAGTCTTATCCGACACTATTCCGATGATATCCCGGACGTTAGTCTAAGCGAGATTAGAATGGCTTTCCAGCACCTTAAAAACCGCAGGGATCCAGGCGAGGATGGAATTACAGCGGAGCTTCTGAAAGCGGGTGGAACACCGGTACTTGAAGTCCTTCAGAAGCTCTTCAATTCCGTCCTCCATGGTGGCACTACTCCGGAGGCTTGGAGCAGAAGTGCGGTGGTCTTGTTCTTTAAGAAAGGCGACAACGCTCTCTTGAAGAACTACAGACCGATTTCCCTTCTGAGCCGCGTCTACGTGCTGTTTTCGAGAGTCATTACGAATCGTCTCGCACGCAGACCCGACCACTTCCAGCCTCCCGAACAAGCCGGTTTCCGAAAAGGCTTCAGTACCATAGACCACATACATACCCTGCGGCAGATTGTACAGAAGACTGAAGAGTACAATCTGCCACTTTGCCTGGCGTATGTGGACTATGAGAAAGCCTTTGATTCCGTCGAAGTTTGGGCGGTGCTGCAGTCCCTTCAGCGGTGCCAAGTTGACTGTCGGTATATCGAAGTGCTGAAGTGTTTGGATAGCAGGGCTACGATGGCTATCCGAGTACAGAACCAGAGCTCGAAGCCTATCCAACTGCAGAGGGTGTAAGACAGGGTGATGTTATATCCCCGAAACTCTTCACCGCTGCGTTGGAAGACGTTTTCAAGCTACTGGACTGGAAAGGATAAGGTATTAACATCAATGGCGAGTACATCACTCACCTTCGATTTGCCGACGATATATGTAGTCCTTATGGCAGAATCGCTAGAGGACCTTAGCACTATGCTCAATGACCTCAATGGTGTCTCCCAACGGATAGGTCTTATGATGAACATGGACAAAACAAAGATCATGTTTAATATCCATGTCACACCTATGCCGCTAGTTGTTGGGAGCACTGTGCTCGAAGTTGTTGACGAGTACGTTTACCTAGGACAAATAGCCCGACTAGGTAAGTCCAACTTCGCCCGAGAGGTCAATCGACGGATTCAACTCGGCGGGGCAGCGTTCGGGAAATTACGACACATCTTCTCGTCAGGTATACCTCAATCTCTAAAAACTAGATTGTACAACCAGTGCGTGTTGCCAGTGATGACTTACGGATCTGAGACGTGGTACTTCACTGCTGGCCGTATGAGGACGCTCAAGGTCGTTCAGCGAGCTATGGAGAGGGCTATGCTCGGAGTTTCTCTGCGTGATAGACTCAGAAATGAGGATATCCGCAGTAAAACTAGAGTGACCGACATAGCCCAACGGATTAGTAAGCTGAAGTGGCAATGGGCCGGCCATATAGCTCGAAGAACCGATAACCGATGGAGAAGAAAGGTTCTCGAGTAGCAGCCTCGTACCGGTAGGCGTAGTGTAGGGCGACCCCCCACTAGATGGAGTGACGACCTGGTAAGATATGCAGGGGGAAGTCGATGGATGCAGGTGGCTCAGGACCGTGCTTTGTGGCATTACTTGGGGGAGGCCTATGTTCAGCAGTGGACTTGTGAAGGGCTGTAATGATGATGATGATGATGATGATATAATTAAATTAAAGGTGTGATACAACCTGAACTCCCGTTAGCTACATAAAAAAGGAAAGGAACTGTATATCACAGTAGGAATTGTATAATCAATAGGCTACTTCTTAGATCTTATTTTAGGGTTAAACTTCTTAATTTACAAAAGGAGAAGAATGTATTTATTTTATGATAATCAACTGGGCGTAATCATTTTTCTGTCACTTAGGGATAGTTGGACACTATATTCTATATTGTTTCCAATATTTGTTAGTCGCCTCAGTAGACATGATTATCAAACGTAATGCAAATCGTCAACACCAATACCAGCACTAGTACCAGTACCAGTTACTAGTATCAAGGTTAAATAACGCCCTAGATCCAGGCTGAAATTATTGTATACTTCTTCATCATCATCATCATCAGTGTGATGGATTCTGTTAGGCCGCCAACGCTTGAATGAATATATTTATCTATTAATAAAAAAGACATAAATTTTTTAATAACCTAAACATATTTAAAATATCCAACCACCCAACTCGTAAAGCAATTGACTTATGAAGATCATAACAGTAAGGTAACCCAATAAATCATGGCTGCCTATAACTGCACCAGTACTATTACGTTCATTAGGTTTCTAAATTTAAACTACATAGAGTGGGGTTACGTGAGCAGCCGTAGTAGTTTTGTGATCTAACGTCCACCTTTTCGTATATGAACTCATAACACAAGAGTTCGAGAGACTAGTTTTAATCCTTGGTGCCAGCGTCACCGGCTATTTTAATGCGCGTTTATGATGTACTCGGAAATTAATTATTTTCAAATGTACGTATTACCGCCACCATCTTTACATATATACTATAAAAATTTGAAGTGTCTGTGTGTATTACCATAATAACTGGTTGGTCAAGGAGTTACTTTAAAAAAATAACTGTCTATGGTAACACTACCAAACAAAACTATTGTAGGTATATCGCTGCATGTCATTAGATGAATATGTATAAAATTAAATGTATAATTAAAACACCTTGGCCAGGTCTCTGTTACTCTTGCTACCTGCGTGAAATAATTACCAACAATCGCGTGGACGGCCCGGCCGTCATACGCAGTCGGAGTCGCTGTAGGCTAGGGTTAAAGTTTTTAATGCTGTTTACGTAAATAATATTTTGTAAATACTTATTGAAATATTTTTTGTTTATTGTTTAGTATATTTAACTGAAGGATAAGATAGTTGAAAAACTTTCAATGGAAAACACCTTTCTTGCAAACAAATTGAATAATATGTACAGAGTGACAGTTAAAGATCTATTCCGTCTTAATACCTGTATTAACAAATAAATAATTTTAAATTTGAATCTGTGGAAACAGTGTGGATTGGTAAAAAGTAGTGAAATATATCATTTCTGCTTCTTGTTCTATTATGTCTTAATATTGAATAAATTAAAAAAATATTGCAGGAAATGAAAAATTATCTATATTATTATTATATATTTGGAGCTACAGCTCATACATGTTAGATAGTAGTAATAGAGATAGTAATTATATTTGCCAAACGTCCTACCAAGTGTAAAAGTTAAGTTGAATACCTTAAACTTGGAGTATGCGGTTGATTGTTCTTGAGGTCAACTATCATGGATTGACTATGTTAAACTTGGATTATTATATTATCTTATGCATTAGGTACGCATAAAATAACTAAAGAAATATCTACAAAAATTTTCAGGAAGGAATAGAAGTTCTTGTAAAGTGCGAGGAAGCTGCGATTCTCTTAGAACAGAAGATAATGGAGTTCAATCAAGAGGTAGAAGTTCAAGCATTACTGAAAGAGCTTATAGTAATGAAGGCAAAGATATCAAAATTGCTTATTCAAGCAAGACAAGGACTTCAAACCATCAAGGTAAGAAAGGTAATTATATTTTTCTCTCTCGCTATTTATTCAAAAATTATTCGAAACATTAAAGACTACTTTCTACTTCCAGGATGCTAGAATCGAAATAGAAAATCAATCCAAACAAATTGAAGAACAGAAAGAACAAATAGGCAAACTCGACAGTTGGCTTGATGCAATAAATACCGAACTTAAGGAATCTGCTAAAGGTACTGACGTTCTCACTGAAGAAGATATAATAAGATATATTGAAATTTATGAACGATATATAAAAGAATACGAAAACTATGAAACTATTCTTCGAACAATAACTGTGATAAGTCATGATGAATCTAGTCAATCAATGCAAATCAAAATAAATGCTTTGAAGAAAGCGTTAGAAGAATCAAAACACCTAGTCATTTCTGAAATAGAAAGATTGAGACAAATATTACTTAATATGAAATTTACCCCCGAAGTAGTTGAGGAAGGACTATCTCAAACGGATAGAACAATTGACTCTACTTCAATGCCAGAAGAAATTGCTTCTTCGGAGGAAATAGAACCTATCGGACTCGTACCACCTCAAAAATCCCTTGGAACCTCGATAGTTCCTGATAGCCCTACCAGTCAAGAAACCGAAGACCGAATTTTCGTTGATACTAAAGTAGAAGTACAAATGACTCCAAATATCGAGGAAGTAAAAAATACTGTTGTGAAAGAATCACAAACGGGAAAAAGCTTGATATCAGATGCACCATCCATGCATGATAAATCTATAATCTGTCAACCACAAATAATAGAAACTCATGATGTTTCTGTAACGTGCGCACCACCACAAGATGTTGAAGTACAAACGGGCGAACCAAAATCTCATGCAGAAGAGTTCTTAGAGAATATCCAAGTTACTCAAACTATTTCTGATGGGCATGAAACTATTGTTATATCTAGTAAACCGGTGGTCAGAGATCAACAAGGCGATGACCATTCACTTCTTGTTGATGCTGATTATAAAGATGATAACCTACATAAGAACTCTCAGCTGAATATAACACACAGCTTGCCACAAGCATTTGAAACTGTAATGGTAGAACCTGACGAAACTACAACCGAGGTAGTTGTAGATGCAGATGGCACTAAGAGAATTATTGTAAAGAAAATAAGAAAAACATTAGTTACCAGACAACAAACTGTACAAATGCAACCACATGATTCTCAAATAATGTCTGGTGAAGAAGGGGCTTTGCAAGAACGATCATTCCAACAAATAACAATAAAAGAAAACAAAGGCTCTTCTTCCACCTTCGGTGACGGTAGAATACAAAACGTTCAATATCAAACATATGGAGGTCAAGTTATAACAGGTCTTCCAGGAAGAGAAATGTCCATACAAGAAATTACCTCGAAACCAGAAATGGTCATCAGTATGGAGAAAGGAATGAGTCCAGATCAAATTCTTCAAGTGGCGGAAGGAGAAGTGCAATCACAGGTTCAAACTTCATCATCTAGTGTAACAGCAGTTGTGGAACAAGTTACTAAAAGAATCATCAAAACAAGACGACGAATCATTCGTCGTGTAGTCATTATTGACGGTAAAGAACACGTCAGCGAAGAGATTGTGGAGGAACCCGATACTGTCGAAGTTCTTGAAGAACAAATACCTAAAGTTTCTATTAATGTAAAGGAAAGCAATATTCCTTTTGAAATAGATGATTCATTTGATAGCAATAATCAACCACCACCGTTATCCCGTGATTCAAATGGAAAAGAAAAACCTTTAAAAGATAAAACACAAGGTGGTAAATGTACAGATAAATCAGTAGATTTGCCTGAAGAGGTTACGACAACTAAAAGCCAAGATCTACAAAGCTTAACAGAACAAAATTACCCTGAATACAGCGATACCAACCAAGAATACAATCAAAGTAGACTGGAAGTACTAGAAAGAGAAACTGTACCGAGTTCAACAAGTCTTACACCTGAAAATATTTGTTTAGAACCACAGCAGCGCGCATTTGAACAAATAGATTTCCAAAATAAGAAATCTGCACTGCTAACTGGAGAACAACTCACACAGTCAGAAGCACTGTCATCTCATTTTGCTTCGGTCACTCAAACAGTTACAAGGAAAATCACAAGAACAAGAAAACGTATAATAAAACATATCGAAATAATCGATGGTAAAGAAAATATTACAGAAGAAATTATTGAAGAACCAGATGATGTAGAAATAATTGAAGAAGAACCTAAAATAACGCGTCAGTGTCTTGATCAGGGTATTAAAATGAAAAAAATGAAAGTTATTAGACAAGTTCAAATGATTGACGGCAAAGAACGTGTAACTGAACAAATTATTGAGGAAAGCGATGACGCAGATAATTTTGAACCACATATTACTACAAAATCTTATATTGAAGTATGTGATAAAGATAAACCATCTGAACTAGAGCAACGTGAAATAATGATGATGAAAAATGAACCTGAAGATTTTATTGACATGACAAAACGCCTGATCAGTAGTGAAACCGATCACACCATAGCCACGAAAACCTCACCAGTTAAGTCAATTTATCAGAGTGTAAAACCTACGAAGGACGTAAAAGACAAGAAAGATGAAAATTTGCCGGAAATAAATATGCCAGCACACAAAATAGAAAATATAAGCAAAGTAAAAGAAACAGAACAAAACTTTGTGACAGTTCACTTGGGTAATAAAACAGAAGTGCCTCAGTCACTTTATTTAACTTCAGCAGAAACAGAAAAAAGGGGAAGAGATAATGATCCTACTACAGATACTACTCAAAACTCATCCAACACTAATGAAAAAGAAGAAGAATTAAATTTGGATTATAAATCGTTTACAAAGATTGAGAAAATTCCGTCATTACCTTCTACATTGCACCAACACGAGATTGAACAAGGAAATCCAACTCAGGAATCTTCAACAAATCTGTCTCGGGATATTGAAAAAACTAAACCTGAAACAATAAGTGCAGCTGCGTACCTTAAAGGTAATAATGCAGACATTATGACAAATAAACCCCCAACCAAAATAATTAAGACAAGAACTCGAGTCATTAAACATATTCAAATAATCGATGGCAAAGAACATGTTAAAGAAGAAATTGTAGAGGAGCCTGAAGAAGTTGAATTATTCATAACTGATCCTAAAACCTACGTTATTCAGGAAGAAGGAGTTAAAACTAAACGTTTAAGAATAATAAAAAATATCGAAATAATCGATGGCAAAGAACATGTGACTGAAAAAATATTAGAAGATCCTGATTATGAATATATGCCTCATTCTACAATTACAGCTGATATTGATCTTCAGGTCAGCCAATCAACGGAGCCACATTTAGAGTCAAATATTAATAATACAAAAGAACAAGACCCACAACGGAGAATAGTAGAGGATACATTGACTATAGAACAACAGAAAGGCATTTCTACGATCGACGTCTCTAAAAGTTTTATTGACCGTGAAATAGATCACGCTGAGATAATACAAAAACCGTCATTCTATAATAATGAACAAATAGATAGAAAAAAGATATTAGTAGCTGAATTGCAGACAGATTCAAATAAAGAAATTATAAGCCAATCCGAAGTGAATCCCGAAATTACGAAAGTCGAATATTTACATATTCCCACTTCTTCGATTGAGGAAACAACTTCTTCAGAAATTTCGAATAAAGAAGAGCAGCAAACACCTGAAATTCGGTATACCTCTCCCATAACAACTTCCCCTATGTATTCTTCACAGAAAACTGTTATAATGGGTGAAGATAATACACCTAAAGATTATAAATCTTTAGTGTTAGTCGAGCCAAAAGAATCAACATCTTCATTTGCTGAAGAGGCAACTCCTAGACATGAAAAATTATCTATCCAAAACAAAAATGCAAGTAAGAACGAATCACAGAAGGCCACCTTAATAGATATCACGAAAACTTTGCTTTCTAGTGAAATTGACCACACTGCAATGGTTAATACATTTAAGCGCGAAAGGGAAGAAAGTAAGATAAACCCTGAAAAAGTATTCATATCAGAAGAAACTGCTTTAGATAAAACTTTAGACAAGCCTACCTTTTTAGAAACCTCTCAAAATAAAACACAAACAACAAGTGACCTTACGGAAGCAGTTATTCCTAGTTATCATATAATTCAAGCAAAACATGGACCAGGAAGCGAAGAGGAGATTGTTACAAATAAAATCATCCCCAAAGACCATAAACCTAGCTCTGATGTGGAATCGTCACAAATAAAATCCAAACACGATACGACATTGGAAGAGAATACGTTAGATCACGTAATAATGAAAGAAGATAACACAAGTGTAAAACAACCTTTCAAGCACTTTACAAAAGTCCCAAAAGAAATGGAATTAACACAGATGAATACTCCAGAAAATGTAACCTACAGCGATCTAGGTCAGTTTAAAAGTGAAGTAGCATTAAAAGAAGCACCAGAAGAAGTTCTACAAACTCCAAATGCTAAAGGTAGAAAACAAATTGATTTGACTTCTATTGAAAGCAAACCTAATATTGTCAATGAATCGATTAGGGATCTAGATAATATTGATGTAACGCATGATCAAGATGTGAAGTCAAGTCTAATAAAAATTGTCAAACAAGCAGACTCCATTGATGGTCAAGAAGTTATTACAGAACATATTAAAAGAATAGAAGACATGGACTGTCTCCCTGAATCTACTATTACTACTCAAATATATGTTTCGACAAGCAAACCTGATGCATTAACCGAGAATAAACTTATGAAAGTTACCAATGAAAGAGTCAATGCTAAAGCAGATAAGTCAGTTCTTGACATCACAAAAGAATTGATTAGCAAAGAAACGGGCCACATGTCGCAGCTTTCAACTTTACAAAAGCAATGCTTACACCAGACAGAAGAATTAGAAGTAACGAAAGAAGATATGAAAGACGATGACAAAATTTACAGTGACAAAATAGACACTAAAGCCAGACCGTCACCAACAATCAGTGCTAATTTATCAGATATAAATAGTCCATTAAGTAAATCTTCTAAAACCATTAAGCCTGTAATTACTCCTGACAGTATACGTATAGACCAGCCCAATCAGGATGATTTGCCAGTCATTGAAGATTTAGTGATCGACCACAAATTGAATTCGTCTACAAAAACAGAATCAGAAAAACCTTTAGAACAAAATGAACCTTTCAACAAAGAACAACTAACTGGTCATATAATTTTAGATAAAACAACACCGCAATCATCGGTCAGCGTTCAACCGCTTTACGCAGAATCGATCGTGACTGAATCACACACAGCTGCTCAGCCAACAATGCGAGATCTATCTTATATTAAGCAGAATGATCCACAAAGTCTATTATATGATGACGAAAATCTTTTAAAACAAATATTAGTTCCTAATGAAACTACTTCAAAATCAGATCAAACGCCTACATCCGATACCAAACATAAAGTTATAGCGTTTATGGAACAAGAACGTAATAGTGATTCAAGTAACTTTAAAGTATTTGAAAAAAGTCAAGAAACACAAACAGCTCATTCTAAAGCAATGCTTCCCAAAACAGTTGATATTAACATGTCAATTGAAAAGACTGATGCAAGAAGTAAAATTGTACCAAATATACAGCTAAATCTAAAAGTCGAAGACTATGAGTCTCAAGATCCTTGTGTAGCTAAAAAAGATGTTGACATCAGTCTTCCAGCAGAAATAAAAATTACTAATGAACCAAGGCATGAAGGCGAAATTTGTGCAAAACCTGAAGAAAAAGAAAAGGTTCGAAATAAATCTAAAAAGAACAAAAAACAAAAATGTTCTTCAGAGTGTAGTGACTCCTTTGAAACTGACGTACAAACAAATACAGACAGAACAATTAATGATACAGAAAGCTCGTCATTAGGTCATTATGTTGAACTTCCTGTGTCGCCTCTTACTGAATCTCCAAAACCAAGTGAAAATCTATTACAACAAACTACTGTGGCAGAAGTGCAATCTGTAACGTCTTCCTTAGAATCTGAATCTACTGCTGAAAATAAAGGATACGAGCCCGAAGATACGACTACATGTTCTAGTACTGCATCTGGTAAAAGGAAACGCCACAAAAAACGCAAAGTAAGTGACGATACGATATATCCTAAGCAGAGTAGTACAGAGGATGATACGCTAGCTTCTACGTCAATTGAAACAGATGAGGATAAAAGGAAAATTAAAGATACTGATAAAAAAGAACAGGAAGATGTCATTGAATCTAATGCGATAAGTTCAGATGTTAAACTTACAATAAATCCCGTATTGGGTGAAATAGTTACTAGTGAAACTATTTCAACTTCGCCTAAAGAAGAGTCATGTCACACAATCAGTGAATCTTCGGACTTCAGCACTGTAAAAATAGTGGAAGAGTGTGTCGGTAGCAGCCCAGAAATGGCACAAACCGAAATACCTACGATGGTAACATATCCTATACGCGTAGTAGAAGAAGTCTTAACACAAGAATACTCTATGCAAACATCGCCTGAAATAATAAATGATTCGGCGATACCCGAAATTGAAAGTAAAATCAAATCTTTTACAGTAAAAACAACTGATAGTGGGCTACAAACCTCTCCTACTTTTGTAGATGACAGTTTTGTACAGACAATGCCAAAAGAAGATAAAGAAGCCCATACTCAAACTGTCGCAGATAACGTTATACCAGATAAGGTAGAAGTGCAAGATTCGCAGAATCAGACGAGCGGACTAAACTCACCAGATAACATCTTGCAGTCAGAAGCTGTAACCCAAGTTGTTCCACGTGATATTAACTATTTTGAAGAAAAATTTTCTCAAACATCTTCACCCATCACTGAATTTAGAAAAGAAGCAGAACCATTAGTAGAATTAGAATGTCGTGAAATACAAACATCACCAACGCCACAAATTCGACAAGATGAAAAAAGCACTGAAATTACTATCGACACTGCAGACTCTAATATTCAAACTATTACGCAAGAAAATATCGATAAAGAAACATCCACTTCTCCTTTGAAAGTTAAAGTTGCTACAGAAATTAGTGTTCAGACGCCACATGTTTCTTATGTTAATGTATTTACTCAGTCCGAAGATCACATATCAAGAATTGATGCCAAACAAAAATTAAACGAGGAAATATCTCATACACCTTACGCATCAGAGCATGATTCTGAGAAAGACGAAAAAGTTCTTATTGATAATTCACAACAAACAACTCCAAGATCAGTAGAATCAATTGGACTTCAAATTGACAACACAGAGCAGACTTCTCCAAGGTTTCCTACGAAAAAAATTACTGCTTTATCACAACCACAAAATACAGAAATAGAAAGCATTTCTACTGATAAAATTCAGCAAACTTCACCTAGATCTTGTTCTGAAAACACTACTTTAGGTATAAAGCGAGAATTAAAAACTGTAGACAGTATGCTTCAGACATCTCCACTTACATATTCTGATGATTCAATATCAACTTCTACAGATGATCCATATGAAATTCACCTTAGAGCCCAAATTTCTATCCCTCAAGTAACAGATGATTTTATTAACATTGAACGTCAAATTCAAGAACCTGCTCAATCCATTATAGGTGATAAATCAAAACAAAAGAAAAGGCGTTCCAAAAAGAAAGCAGAATCGCCTTTGCAATCACCTGGTAGTCTTTCAGATCCTATTAATGCTGAACTTTCTCTATCTGTAACCCCAACAAGTGAAGATATATCTAGTAGACAAACGGATTCAGCAGATGAAGGAATATCTCACATTTCAAGTCAGACCTTACCAAATATGCATCAGCTAGCTACACAACCTAAACTCACGTATTCAGATGTCGTACAAAGATCCAAATCTAAATCTCCTTCACCTAGTAAAAGTGTTCTTCCGTCACGAAAATCTGAAAAAGCTAGACTTATTGATTCTGTTGAAAAACGCACACAATCTATCGCTGAACCTCAGAAAAATATAGAACAAACAATGGCCGTATCATTAATCGAGCCATCAATGGAAAAATCCTATGGGCTTGTAGTTGATAAAGAATTAAGTAAACTGAGGCAGTCAGTGGAACTCAATGATACCAATAAGTTAGAAAAAAGCGTTATTATTGTGATTGAGACCATTTCAATTTGGTTAGAAGAAATACAACACAAAATACAGATAGAAACTGTTACAGGGACCAAAGTAACTGACAAATCTGAACGTCTGAAAGACCTGCAAAACTATATCCGCAATCTTAAACAAATAATTTATGTTACTGAAGTAAATGAAGAAATAATAACTTTAATTGAGACTTTAACGCGGCAAGTAGACGCGGTCAAGAATTTGAGTAATGAAAGTTCGGTAAAATTGAAAGAAATAGAAAAAGGATGGAACAAGTTTTTGGAAGATACTGAAATTTTAAGCATATCAATTGAAAAAGTGAAATCGCGCCTCGATAAAATAATTGTATTAGAGTTATCAGTGCAACAAAAACTTGATGAACTCGATAAAATCGAAACAGAAAACATCGACAACACAGATATTGTTAGAAAAATGTTCCGAAGATTCCGAAGTATCGTAGAAGCAAATCCTAAAAGAGAATGTCCTACAAAATTATATACTTGTGACGAAAACACTAAACAAATTGAAAACTCTGTCAACACGGAAAGAGACCGTCTTATGCAATTGATGTCATTAGCCGAGGAATATGAACAAACATTACAAGATTTTGGTCAAATAACAGATGTAGCAGAAGCATTGTTAGACGGAAAAATTATTGTATCTGATTTAGACCACCTTCATGAAGAAATCCAAAAGCATAGAAAATTCTTTGTAAACTTAAGTCATTGCAGAGCTATTCTTGAATCTTTAGAAGATAATTTAGATAGTGAAACTAGAGCTAAATTTTCATCGCTTCATAATTCCCTCCACGATAGAGCTACTAAAATAATAGACAGAGCTGCAGGACGTGCTCAACAAATGACTTTAGCGGCTTCTAGATGGAGTATTTTAGATAATGGCATGAAAGAAGAACAACAATGGCTCCGAGTGGCTCATCAAAGAATTCCTGACCTTACAAACGTAACATCTATGGATCATGAGCAGTATATCAACCTGTATCAGTCTATAAGCTTAGATGTGTCACACCATTACGCGAAAATATTGCGTCTTCTATCTATAGCTGAAAACTTACAACACCTTATTACTTGCTCTAAACTAGAGTCTGTGTGCTCTACAGCGCTTGATACTTTGTTGACTCTTCAAGAAAATATCGATTCAAGATTAACAAGATTGAGAGCCTTTAAAGAAAATTGGGTAACATATGAACACCTTATTGACAGGGTAGAAAATTGGATGAAGCTGGCAAATAGAGAATTGGAAAATATAACGCCAGAAAATATAACAACTACACCAAACTTACGACGATTTTGGGAACTAAAAGCTCAGCATGAAGTACACCACAATCTCAAAAATGAATCTGGAATTCAGTTTGAAAAAGCGCTAGAAATATTACCAATATCTGACGAAATGGTTCAGCGCCAATTCTTTTTGAAGATAGAAGATAAATGGCGAAACTTGTCAGCAAGGATTGACGATTTACACACTACAGCTATACAGAATATCTCAGATCGTGATGTGTCTTCCGGTGAAAAACTACACATTTTAGAAGAAGAATTAAGAGAATTGAGAGCCTCTTTAGACGGCCTTAAAGGTGTTATTAAGAGCGAAGATGAACTTAATTTGTACATAGAAAGATTACAAGTAATGACTGGTCGCATAGATAGAATACAAAATGAACTCGGAAGATTAAGCTTATTGCCTACGGCAGAATCGGACCGCTTAGGTGCACTTTTAAGTCAGTCAGGAATATTAAATGACCAAATAGCGGAAGAACTAGAGAGAAGTTTAATTTTGAAGGAGAAAATTATGCAAGTGCAAGCTGGTATCGTTCGATGTCAGAAGAATCAGCGCCGTGCTCGATTAACCTTAGAGGAATGCGAGTCAGCCGAACGACTTGGGAGTGACGTTGTAGAACGGGCATCTGAGACCTGTCAAAGATTGTTGGAAGACCTGGCAAGCCAATGGCAGGATATTTTAACCCTACGACAAGCGCTTCATACTCTTCCGATAAGCCTTCGAGTGTGTGTATCACCTACAGGTGTGGAGAGGGATATCTCAGCTTTACAAGTGAGTGTTTCGTTGGCTTATATTTTAGTGTTTCCCTCGTTAAATAGTCTGCAATAATTATTTGTTGGTTATTTATCTGGTTACATTACTTGATTCTTTTTAGTATATATAGTATAAATATTTTCTGTCTCGCAGGAAACTCACGCCGAAATCGAAGCTGCTTGCAGCGATCTATGCGCTCGACTCCGTGCTAAGCTTCAGCTTTGGAGAAGATATGAAAGACAGCTAGAACTAGTCCAAGGTGCTGTCAGAGAAGCCGATTACATGGTAGAGCTACTAACCGTACAAGGCCAAGTTGACTACGATCGTCTGCTGAAGGCTACGGAGAAGCTTGAGGTTCGTTCAGAAAATACCCTGTTATTTTTATTCAGTTATTGTCAGTAAAAAACAAATTTTTCATTTAATTTATTTTCTTTTTTACACATTAACTTTATACTAGGAATTTCTCTCTATTCTCATTTCTTTTTTCTTTCTACTCGGGGAAATCGAACGCTGACCTCTATATATACAAGTACGCGACCCGAAGCATTTTTTACAGCCAAACGCTAAGCAACTGCGTCAAATTGTTGCATTAGATTTACACCTGTGACATAATGGGTGCGTTTGGCAGAAAAAAGCGCTAGCAAGCGCTTGTAAGCAAAATGGCGATCGTAAGCGGTAATCGCTGTTAAATCGTAAGTAGCTATTTTCCTCCAGGACACGATGTTAGTTTTAATCGGTAAACCTAACCTAATTTAAATATATGTTTGTAAAGTATTCATATTAAAAACTTACCAATCATTAATTTTTAATAACATGTATATGTTTATTCATGTCAATATATTACTTAAAACTAATATTGCATAAAACAACTTAAAAACTCTACTTCAAAACAAACAAATTAAATAAGCAAAATGGCGGATTGTGTCAGCGCTACTGAAGTAACAATCGTGTCCTGGCCGAAAACTATTTCAGCGCTTGTAAGCGCTTGCTAGCGCTTTTTTCTGCCAAACGCACCCAATATCTCTTGCGTAGGTGGTTGCTTACGATTAACATTTGGGATTTGATCAATATAACAAAGGCTGGCGACCATCATATATAATTATATTGCTTTTTAATATTAGTTTCCAAACTCGCTCTTCTCTAAACGTGGTGACCCGTGGGGAGTTTCTACGCCGTTGTATCTAAAATCATTGATGATAAACGAAATTTTAATTTCTTATATATTACGGAGCGTCACACGCTGCGTTTGCCTAAGTGGTGCGCCTTGGGAAAGCCTATGCCAAGCGGTGGACTGCCGTAGGCAGATGATGATGATGTATAACGTATAATATCAAGTTGATTAAAAAAAAGTTGACCGTCACGGAACGCCCGGCAAATGTGAAACGTCATTATTGATGATAGAACTTTTAATTGATCTAAACCAATAAAACGTGGAGTGAAATAAACAATTATATTTAAAATAAATGCTTCAAGTAAATTAGAAATAAGTTGTGTTGCTGAGGGCCGCAGTTTAAAATCATTCATGGTAAAAGTGTTTTATGGCCTACAAATAATTGTTCCTAATCTAAATGTTTGTCCCTTTATAAGGTCTGTGTGTGCAAAATGCCTCCACGGTACAAGTGAAAATCCTAGTGTAACTTAAAAAAATAGTTTTATTTGCTAACGCTTATGGTATCGTTAGACGCTGAGCGAGTCCCTTTCGAGAAGGAGTGGAGAGCTTGTGGGCGAGCTTAGGGACGCTGCGGTACCCCTGGAAGCCACCACGGAGCCCGGCGTCGCGGCGCAGTTGCGCAGGGAACTTGACGACGCCGCCGCCGCGTACGAACACACGTGTACCAACTTATCACAAATGTGCGACAAGTAAGTGACGAAATACTAGTAGTTAGAACTCTTTACTTACTTTGAAATCCATTATATTTAGATTTTAAAAATTAATTACTTCGGATCTGATGTCTACTACCTAATTTGAAGAGCGGATCTTTGGTAATTAATTTTTAATATCCTTAGTATTTTTTTATACAGAAGTGGGCAAACGAGCATGCGGCTCGACTTTTTTTATATAGAATAAGGGCGATAAACGAGCACATATGATGTCACCTCATGATAAGTGAATGCTGAGGCCTGAATACATTTACATCTATCATCACTTTACAATCAAAATCCGTTTTCACCCTTGAGGACTAAGATGGAATGCCTAGTTTCCAGTAAAAAGGGTCTCCGGTTCTCTACACTCACCATACGAAACACAGCAGCATTAAACTACTATTTTACGCTGGTATTCTGTAAGAGTGTGGTCACTTGATGGATTTGCAGATGCGTTGCCGGCTTTTGATAGTAGAACTTGATCATTGAAGGGTTATGTCGTAGAAATAGAGCTATGCGACAACTATATTATGGTTGTAGTACGAATGGGTCAGTTTGACTATGGAAGGATCACGCTCTCATAGAAACGTATCATCGTAAAATAGTAGCTTAATGTTGCTTTGTTTCGTATAGTGAGTGTAGAGAACCGGAGATGATTTTTATACTGGATGAAGCAATCTATCTTATTCCTCAGTGACAACGTATCTGTATTATGATTCTTAATCGATCACAGCATCCTCTTATAATCATACTATCATCAACGTACATACTTACCAATATACCTACTATGAGGCGCGAATCTAGAGAAAACGTCATGGTAGATATGACCAATTCTCTAAAATCTAAATATATTTTAAAGTATAATTTTGCTTTTTAACATCTTTTTTTTTTTCTTTTTAAGAAGAACGTTACCTTTACACTGGGATTTTTAGTTGTACGCACGGATGTGCTACAACTATAATATATAGGGTCGGCCCGATCGGGGCAGGACCACGTTCTCACAGAATAGGTAGCGCAAAATAGCAGCGTAATGCTGCTGTATTTCGTATGTTGAGTGTAGAGACCCTTTTTACTGGAATGGAGGCAATCCATCTTAGTCCTCAGGGGTGACAACGCATCTGCATTTTGATTCTTAGTTGAGGATAAATGTGGATGTCTATGGGCCACAACATCCACTGACTATTAGGACTGTGTGCTCGTTTGTTACACAATACTGTAAAAAAATATCGTAGGGGCAGTTTACATACATACATTTCGCAAGGACAAATATCCCATCCCGGAACGATAATTTGTGATCCATACAAATAATTGTTCCGTGCGGGATTTGAACCCGCGGCTCATATCGCTGCAACTCATTGCTAAGCCGCTGCGCTATAGAACCGTCGACCTTATCTCTAGATCTACGTCTAATACACTATAAAGGTCACAGCTCATTAGAGCTACCCGGCACCCGACCCTCACCGCCTCGCCTCGAGCGGTTCGTATTCTTCGTATGGACTTGTATGGACCTGCGCTCGCTACATCAACTCCGTACCATCACCGTATCGCCTCGCACACGAGGTGTCCACGCGCGGACTGCGAGTGGACCACTCGATGATAGCTCGCTGTTGGCATGCCTGCCTCGCGTGAAGCGCGAGCTGGCAACGCGTGGTTCACGCGAATGCGATGCGGCGCTCTCCACCAACCCTTAATTTCGAGCCTTTCTTACAAATGTGTCGGACGCATTGTGTTTGTTTTTAAAATGAACAAAGAAAAACTTATAGAAATATAATTTATTGTATGGTTTATGGGTCACTCGTTGATCACGCGAGGTTCACTTGTTGACGACGCGAGGTCCACTCGTTGACGACGCGAGGTCCAATCGATGACTACACGAAGTTCACTGGTGACAACGCAGCGTCCACCCGTGGTCCACCTGTCGACTACGAGTGGACGCCTGGCGACGAGGCAGTAGGGGTTGGGTGCCGGATGGCCCTATTGAGCTGTGACCTTATGGATATTTTGCGAGGGGTATTAGGGGAAGATATTCGTGTTGAAGGGTGAGAGTGAGGTGGTGTGTGCACTGTACACAGGTACCAGCGGGCGGTGGAGCTGTGGCGGCGCTACCGCGAGGCGGCGAGCGCGGTGCGCGGCTTCGCAGAGGCGCAGGAGGCCCATCTGCACGCGCTGCGCCCCGCCGACGCGCCCGCACACGCACATGTACGTACATAACGCTTTCTTGCAAACGCTTCCACACTGTGTACAGTCCGTACCGATAAAGAATGGGATTAGAAATGGTGCCTCATCAAGCCCGTACCGTCAGCATGCACAGTACCAATAGCGGAAACCCGCTAATAACGGTTCATCCTTATATTATTCGGTTAGTTGAAACTTTTTATTGATGGGAAAATATTTAAAAATAATTGTAAAGCCATGTAGGTATATTAATTTTAAAATAATATTCAAAACTAGCAAACCCGCTCTGGCTTCTCCCAGGTGGGATCTATTAATGAAGCTTTATTTTTCGACTTAACATTATTCGAGATAGTTCATTAAAGACCAGTTGTTTTATCCTATCAATATTTCTATTTTTCTGAAATCTTCAGATTTTTCGGATAAAATTTAGTCTCAATCACTCCTAGTAATATTTTATACATAAATATTAAGAAACAAAACCAACAATAAAAACGAAGAAAACTCCTAAAACGCGTCTGTAGCTCTGAAATTAACGTAATTGTGCTGAATTTTTTTTTGTAGTTCATGGGAATTTTTTGCATTGATTCTAATAACAAGTTAGACTGAAGTTATAGAACTTTACAGAAAACGCGTATCGCAAAATATTTTTTTGCATTATTTACTGGCGGGTGTGAGACAATGTGCGAGCGAGAGGGGAATAGAGGCGTAGCCATTCTCAATCTCATTCTTTAACCACAAGAGTAGTAAATGTCTGTATATTAACATGGTCAAGTGAATAGAGTTATGCGGCGCGACTTGCCGATGTCGTGGATCTTCTGGCCGAGCCATTACCATTAACGTTCACCCATCCATTCCATTACGGCCTATAAAAGTCCACTGCTAAACTAATACACCCCCTCCCCCATTGATTGTCTCATGTCTCTATCTATCATCTTATTTGTTTCCCACTGTCGCGTCTTACACCACTCACGCTACGGTATGATAACGATTCTTACGATAATAAACGAACGAACCTACTAAACGATAATTAATTGAGAACGAGGGCTAAATCGAACTGAGTGAACGTGCAAATGTCAATATTTATTGGGTATGTTCCGAAATACAACGCAGTGTACTGTTCAATGTAAATGACGTCATCACTTGACACTTTATTGTACTAGCGTGCCGCCGCCATATTGTGTCGGATATCCGGCCACAATAAAATAATTTTTAATTGTGTGTTTGCCGAATGGAGCATGCCAGAATTTGTTTCTATTTACTCAAATACAAAAAATTATAGAGTAATTGATGGTATATCCATTAGGAGGATATAATGATTTTTGGAGCACAAAATGACAAAATAATCGCCAACACTTTTCCAAATGTCGTAAAAGTATGACGTCGTATACTGTCCAATGTTTTGGAACGAATCACCAGTATAGCGTCGATTCATGACGTCATTTGCATTGGATAGTACACTGCGTTGTATTTCGGAACATACCCAGCGACGTGTGCAAAGACTAGACTAGACTACTAGTAATGTATTAACGTTACGAATTTACTCGTAACTCCGTCCTTTGAAGTCGGTTGCAAGTGTTTATGAGTTGCAATAGCTTTACTTTACCATAAAGTCTATGGTATATTAATATTACCAATTAAACTGTAAGATCGTTTTACACTTCTATTTTGTACAAAAAACTTTTTTAAAACGCCAAGTTCGAGACATAAAACTGCCAATAATATGTTGTTTCCAATTTTATAATTATTTTTAACGAAGGTTTTAAAGCTTTCATTTTACTCGTCTGTTGCATGTTATAAGTAATATGATCAATTGAACAGAATATCTTAGAAATGGTCAGGCTATTATAATGGAAACTTGGGTTGATTTGGTAAATAGATGTTACGTTAGTTATGTTTAAGAGGTTTTACAAAAAAAATTGCCTTTTAAATATCTTTGTTTTATTATCTTACACACTAATAAACATCGAGCGATTGCTAAACACTAGATGGCGTTAGTTAATCTCAGTCTATATACCTATTATATGTTTATATTGTATATTGTTTCTTAAACATTAGAATCATCAGTTTCAAATTTGTAAAGACCATTTTTCCTTTCTCGTAAATTCCTAAAGTTTTATCATTTATCACGTTTCTTGCTTAAGTGATTTAGTAACATAGCGCCATCTAGCGACGAGGCAGTGAATTTGATTTATATTAAGTTGCTGATTCTGTGTGCAAACTAAAAGCGCATTGCGAAGTGAATTTTAAGCAAATAAAAATACAATGAGTCATATATTAAAACACTGGCCGCTCCTTGGCCGAGGTGCGCCGGTCATCGACCTTACTTAACGCAGTGTTCGCAGAATCTAAATGATATGTAAGCACGGAAAAGTAGAAAAATCATGAATTCACTTAAAAATAACTTCGGATAGACCATACATTGAAAGAAGCCTTGCCTTGCAGACACTAAGTTAGTAATCGGTCCGAAAGACAAACGGCGGCAAATTACTCCACTCCTTTGCTATACCTATCACGAAAGACGAAGTCAAACGTTTAGTTAGAATGCATGGAATATCAACAACCAAGGTGTGAAGACCCGCCGGCTGCGTGGTGGTCCAAAGGTGAAAAGGTAGGGAGGAATATTAACGCATGTAGTTCCTTCCCTAATTCCTCTACACGTCGGCAGATGCGTCAGCGGACGTCGACAGAAGCGTCAGCAGATGAATCAGCACGAGCCGTTCACAGTTCACACGTCTGCAGATCGTTCAGTCTGTGTCGATATATTCAGCAATCTGTGGTCTGTTTTAATTCTCGACAGGCGCAACTTGCACGCACGCAGCAATATTTTATACCGAATATATATGAGACCGCAGCTGCCTGCAGCTATTTATTTATTTAGTACTTACTTTTAATTACTACTTGAGAGTACATCGCAGTTGAGTTATTAAAAAGAAATGGAATTCGCAACTCCGATGGCACTGATGCATCGTCAGACGTGTTAACAGACGCCGTGCGCTCACGCTGAAACCCTTTGTTACGTGCCACAAAAACCGACAACAAACGTATTGGTGGCAGACGCATCTGCCGATGCTAAATACCTACCACAGACGAGCAAATTCCCCCGTCTACACGTCGGCGGACGCATCCGCAAATGACGTCTGTTGACGCATCTATTGACGTGTAGAGGTGACTTTAGAGATATTTTGTAGCACCCGCGAGTGGCTGTTCACATTCGTAGCACGACACAACGAAAACCTACACTCAAAGTAATACGTTTATGAACAGATACACATTAAATTAAACTTAATATAGGTACTTCATTATTGTTCACTATCTTATTGGTGCTTCGTTACGAATAGTTATCATTAAATGATAGTTAATTTATGTCAATAAAAAAGTTAATTACGTTAAACTAGCAGCAATTAGTATTTATTTGTATGAAGTCATAATTACTGAGTTATCTAGTTCTAGTCCCAACGATATAAAACGTAATATTTATAATTCACTTTGCCTTGAAAGTTGATCTGTCTGCGGGGAATAGATAAAGCGCGGGATGTGCGAGAGATGTGCGCAACAATTTCGTAAATATTGAAATATTTTTAAGCTCTACTCCATTATAAACTACAATAAATTAGCCCGAGTAAAGCTGTGTAAACTCGCATCTGAGTTTACGCGCACGCTCGCGTTCTATAATCTTGTGCTGCACAGATGGCTAGTCCACGTTGAGACTGGCTGCGGTGACCGAAATGCAGACTGGAGGGCATTATACGAAATGGTCTACAGTCATCTATCAAATTCCTTTCTTTTTATTTCTTTATTTAAACATCGTAGCACAAATATGTACAAAGGCGGACTTGACATCTAAAGGCATTCTCTGCCAGTCAGCCTATAAGTAAGCAGAGACCTTTTAAAACTATCCTAATCGTTCATTCTGAATACAGGCTTTCACCACAGATTATAATATATATTGGATGACCTTTTTTTACCGTCTGGAAAAAAGTAGGATGTGTGTGACCTTTTTTTACCGTCTGGAAAAAAATAGTGATGCACTGATATTTTATGAAAAAAAAACATTTTGAATTTGTTAAATAGATAATTTAACAATGACAGTCGTAGTTTCTGAATTCGAAGCCCAGCAAGTTAGTACTCTTGCCTCTGTACTCCCAGGCCCTCAAGTTATAAAAAAATATCATTTATACTTTTACCACCGGTTCGGAAAAATCTCTGTCCTGGGATGAGGTGGAAATCCAGTGGAACTTTTTTCAAATATCAAATTACAATTAATTATTTTATACAACTATCATTCAGTCCCGGCTCCACACGAGCGATCCAAATGTGATTATAAACCATCTAGAGACCCATTCAAACATACGAAACATTTCGTCAAAATCAGTTGGATGGTTTCAAAGTCTATAACGGATACAAGTAAAAACATTATTTTTCGTGTTCTTATCGCGGTACCAATTCCGTGGGTACCGATCGTCTCATTCCCAGGGATTATTATAGGTAAATCGTGTACTATTTACTCTTTAGTAGTATAATAACCCCTTAGAGTTTACATAAGTAGCTTACTTATAATATGCTCTAAGAATAACCCTTATTAAATATATTTAAATAAAGAAAAATACTTTTAGATCATTAGCGTAATATTTCCTGCGACTTTGTTGTAGAATCGTATCCGTTGCTTTCATTAGGTATAGAACATATTAGCGATTTGCTTCACACTTAAAGTACCCAATGTCATACAACTGTCTCCTATAAATAATACTGTGTGCCTACTTATATAGAACCGCTAAATAAACAAGCACTCAACAGCGGACGATATAGGTACGTCGTGATTCAAGGCCCGACCGAGAAAGCACGCGGCTCCATATACGAAACTCGCCTCCTGCACTGATGTCATCGTTATACTATATTCACATTGAATTTTTCTGCGATCTTTAAGAATGGCAGAATCTATATCAATATCCCTTTTTACAATTATATGTGAGTGATCAATTTGTGAATTGGTTTTTTTTTATAGGATAGGGTGACAAACGAGCACA